AATGTATAGATTTTTACGAAATACTCTGTAAATCAGTATGTATATACGAATATGTTTTCGATTATTTTAGAGACGATTTACACCTAATTCCTTCAAGACAAACTCGTTACGATTATTGTTACCCTGCATGTTATAATAACATTAAATAAATCATCATTGTTAAACGGACGAGAGCAAGAAAACAATAACAGAGTTTCGGTGAGGAAACAACGAGAGAATAAGTTTTGTTTGGATAATGGTGAAAGAGTGTGGAAAGTGTAAATGTGATGAAATGAATCCACGGGTAGAAAATTTGGAAGACATTTTGAAGGACTATAGAGGAATAGTTTGAATAATAGAAATGTAGGGGGCAAAGGAAAGGGTTATTGTGAAGAGTATAATTAGGAATACAAATATACAGATTTTTGTAATTATCCCAAGAATAAGCTGTTTTAATGTTGACAAAATTTTAATATATAACAATATATACAGGATGCTTACTAAACATGCTACAAAAATTAAGGGCGTTATCCGTGGATCCGTTGGATTATTTTAGAACTCCTGATCATCTAAGGATTAGAAAATGTTCGAATCATCCAAGGAATAACACCTTGAATTTTTGCCGCATGTTTAGTAAACACCCTGTATATAGATGAATCACTAAACACAAATTCCTCGGTATTTCATTAATTAGGAGAAATAGGAAAAAGCCAAAGAACAAAGTTCTAGGGTTCTTTGAGGACCATAAACCAATAATATTTTCAACTAAACTTCTTAGGCTTACCAGCCACAGTTTTACAGTTTATTTTAAAAATTCCAATGAGACATTACCACGTTCTTCTAATTTGCTTAAATTTTTGACTTCCTGAGCGTCAGTTTTTTTTGACGTTTCAAGATCCCTAGGATACAAAAAAATAGGTCCCCGTTTCCGTTTATCTGTCTGTGTCTGCTGTCTGTCTGGATTTTTATTAGACATATAATCTCTGAAACTACTTGACCAATTGTTGTCAAATTTTACATGTGTATTAGGAATGCCGTGTAGATGGTAAAACGCTAACCAAAATTTGGATAATCATCCCCACCAACAGAAAGATAAGTTCATCTCCAAAATTTACATTGGTAAATATTATTTAAAATTTATAAAATAAGATACTCTTGTGGTTCATGAATCCGTGGTGAGGTTGTACCCCAGAGATCCAGGTTTTTTGGGAAAAAAACAAAATTGTATAACATTTTGCAATTTAACTTCGAAACTACAAAACTGAATGTTCTGAAAATTTACAAGCGTTTTAAGCTTACCGTAAGCATGGCAAATCGTTAATGAATATGTCTTTTACAATTTAACATTGAAATTGCGAAAGCCGTACCCTCAACTTCAATCAAACCCAAAGTCGTCCCCCCCCTCAAAATGATGACATCATCTTTAATTCTGCCGAATTGTTTAAATTGTATAAAATACGATGTACTTGTATGTGATTTATTTATCCGTGTTCAGTTTTTACCCTCTGGCAACTATTTAGTTTTTTGTGAAAAAATCAAAATTGTATAACTACGTTTTACAATAATAATTTAACTTTAAAATTGCAAAATTCGAATGCTGTAAAATTTTGCAAGTATTTTTATCGTAGAATTTTGCCGAATAAATTTTCTTCAAATATATTTGTGTTTTGGGAAAAAAACTGAGTGTGGTTAATTAATTAATCAATCCTCTCGTCCGCGTTGAGAAGATAAAGCCAATCAAATTTCATTTTTTACTTCCCAAGCATAAGCTAAGGAAGTATTGTAATCGAGTCCATCGGCCGAATTGCCATTTCCATATTTTCTCCCGTTTCCGTTTGTCTGTCTGTCTGTCTGTCTAAATGATTAAATGCTAACTAAAATTTGGTTAATCATTCCCACCACCACTGGGATGACGTCATCTCCAAAATTTATAATGAAAATTTTTTTGAAATTTTATAGAATAAGAATAAGAACCCGTGTCAAATTTTCACCCCAGACATCTAGAATTTTTGGAAAAAATTCAAAACTGAATAACAATATTTTGTAATGTAACTTTGAAACTGCAAAACCGAATGCTCTGAAATCTTGTAAATATTTTAAGGATATCGTAATCATGGTAAATCGTTAAGCAAAATTTATTCGTTTATCCCCTCCCAAAAAATTTATGACGTCATTGCAAAATTATGCCGAGTAAATCCCATCCAAAATGTGCAAAATATCATAAGTCTATCATTGCATTAAAAGTTTTTAAATTTCTTATACAGGGTGACTCAGAAAAATTAATTAAAGCGTCAAATTTATTTTAGTGAATAAATCAGGAACGGCTCACTCCGTTTTCCCGAAAATTTGGGAGTACAAAAAGTACAAAAATGTTGATGATGTCATCACAGGGCGAGGGAAGTTCTGTCGAAATAACCTTCGACCAATTTTTTTAATTGCTCATGCTTGTAATCTGAACGTGCTAATCATCGAATTCTTTGGAAGTATAAACATAAACAGTTGAAGTTAAGCATTGATAAATTGAGAATATCTACATTATGTCCGTTGGTTTTTTGCTTTAAATATATTTCATATTGTGCACCTTGGAATTTGTGCCCTCACAGCGTCGGGGCTGGGGGTGTTATTTATGTATTTTATTACTGTAGCTTATTCTGTTTTTGTTGTTTTTATCAAGTGTTTTCCATATTTAAAGTTAATAGTTTCTGCGATTTTTTACTTCTTTGGAAGGGACACCAACATGTTGAAAGAGAACAATTAATAGAATAAGATGCAGGAGTAAAATACAGGTTCTATTTGGAAAAAACTGAAATATCGATATTTGAAAATTTTAATGTTTAAAATTCTGTTTGTAAACACTGTATATTAAAATTTAATTTAATTGTGACTACAATAAAGGGTCATTTTTGCATTGCTAACAAGATGAGGAAAAAATGGAATAACGTGGGAACGTCACATAGGAATTTCAAAAAGTAATTTATGGTTTTGAAATGTAGGAATATGCTAATGAGAATATGTAAAATATATTGGGTGTTCCATTTAAAATCATTCAACCGTAGTCTCCGACTTTTTTTCTCTAATAATTCATGAGGTATCGGGGACTGGATATATACAACAGTTGTATTAAAAACTACGGAATTGTTGGTACTCTGTATTTTTCGGGAGTAGTTCATCCAATATATATTTTTTTAAATTCTGGGAATATTTTAATGCTATTTTTGACGGTCCATTGTTTATGCTAAAATTAGTAATTTTATTCCCACTGATAAATTCTTATATTTATTCATTTAAAAATAAAAATAATTGAAAAAATCTTATTTCAAGTCTCCAGAGATACCACTTTACGAAACATTAAAAAAACCATTTAACATTCGTCGTTGGTTACCCTTGGTTTTACAATTCCCTTAGTCGGCAGAGTCACAGTTTTACTTTTTCAGTTCGAGTTGGCCTCAACTGATACTCAAGTGTTTTTCCATGTTTGCTAATAATAATATTTTTATATAACACTAAAAGCCATGTGCTGTATAAAACTACAATTAACCCGATCTCAAAATAAAACATTTTTAGTACTACAGGAAATATGGTATTTTCCACCATCAGAACGAATTATTCTCCTATCAAATTGTATATTTAGCACACTTAAAGTGATTTTGACAACAAATTAATAATTTGTTCTCATAAATTTTGTTAATCTTGGATTCGTCGTAAACCAGAATCTGTTTCATTTTTATAAACAATTTGAGGTTGGTTGTTTATTCGCATCTAAAAGTACTGTTTTAACATTATATGTTCTCTTATACATGTTTGGCAGTTCGATAAAATCTTATGTAGAATTTTTCCGTTACTACGGTATTGCCCACTTGTTTTATTTTTTGCTAATTTTAGTACACGCAACACATTTTGTGCTATTATTGTGCAGATTGATGAAAATTAATTTGATACATTATGGAAATATGCAAAGTGAGGTGGAACAGTTACTGGAAGATAATTTCCAACTAATAATATACTTGTAGAAACGACTGTGGACTTTTTTAAAATTAATAAATTTAATTACTAATGCTTCCACTAATGAGGTTGTTCCAAATATCCGTGTTACGACTTTAAAAAATACATTGAAATAGATTATACACTGGACACGCGGAAGGAAAGCGGGATTGCTTTTCATTGTTTCCCTGATATTCAGGAAGCTCAAAAGATGCATAGACGATAATTTTTTTAGCGCCAGTATTATCGAATTTTTGAGAACCATGAATTTCATATTTTGTATTATGGTAACAATTCACTAATACCCAGATTTCGTAGTAACACAGTACCATATTTAAATTCAATCATATAGACACTGTGCAGCTGAATTAGAAACTAAGGGAAATATATGAGCCAGGGGAAAAACGTCTGATACATCCCTGTTGTGGATTCCACAAAAATATACCACGACGTTGAAAGAACTTATCTGGACATCAAATTCGAGCACAATTTATTAAAAGATTAAACTAGGTTATTCTGGAATGGATTTTTTTTTAACTTTAGTGGTATTCAGGAAAGTGTTGAATCAGCAAATGGGATATCAAATGTCACATAAGTTTCTTTGACTACATTCAAATTTAGTTTTTTTTTTTCTTTTACAAATATTCATCACATCGAACACCATCAAACTAAAAGAATCAGCAAAACAATGGAAATCCGGCTTAAATTTTTATGTACTCATCGGTGATGTTTGTAAATGTTATAAGTAAGTGCATCTTGTAAATATTGTCAACTATTATCTAAAATTATTTTTGCATCATGGGTTAGATTATGCAACCAAATATACTCATCACTGATCGCCAGTAAGAGAATGATTTGATATATCTGACGACTGTTATTAATACAACATTAATAACACATTTTGCTAAAGGCAAATTATTTTTTAACACAAAAAACGATTTACTTATCTAACAGTTAAAAAATAATTTGGGAGAATTTACATAATTATAAATGATAACACCGTGTATAAAAAGACTAAAATCTTTTCGTTCATCATCAAAAGTTCTCCAGCAACCATGTGTACCGTAAGTACCTTTAAATACTTTTTTAGCTGTATTTAGTATTATCTTTGTTATTAATTTCAGAAATTTGTTTTATCAATTCTTGTTGTTGTTGTGGCTGCAGCCATTGCAGATGATACCGCCACATCTCCTGTTGTTGCTGTAGTCCCTGCAGATGATAAGAACAAGTTTCCTGTGGTTAAAACAACCATTGTTGGTGAATCGGGCACTATTACTGATGAACGTCCCCTACCAATAGCTCCAGTCCCAGTACCTACATACGTTTTGGGTTCCAGAGTCTTACCGTACGTTTTTTCTCCTACGGTCAAAATTGTGCCAAAGCCCATTGCTGAAATAAAATCTGTCAAGGATTTGGAAGATTCGGAATCAATTGAAATAAATTCCGAGCCAGCCGGTTTGCCATCACCTCTTGTCACTTTCCCGTATTACGGATATCCTTTCGGATATCAGCCGACATACCCTTTTTTTAACGGAGGCCGGTATTTTTACAAATATTATTATTAAATGCTTGTAGATTTACGTTGTAGTAGATGAAACCTAATTTTATGCAATAAAGGACTCTTTTAAACATGATTTGTATCTAGTTTGTGAGTAATAACAGGTATTTCTGTAATATGGACCATACGTGTTTATAATTTTAACACATAGCAATCAATGCGAAATAGAACTTATAAAAGTAAAATTACAAAAGTTAAACCTGCAAAAACAAATTTAATCCCCGTTAAATAAATGTGGCACTAACCTGGCGTTTTATTTCAACCATTTTCTGTTTTTATACGATCGTTTGTGTCTTGAGACGCGTATTTTGGGATATTTTATCGCACATGCTTATTTAAATAACCAGCAGTGTAAGTTTTTAGTGCGGTGATTTGTAATGGTAATACCACGCCACCAAAATTTAAAGAGCAGTTGAATTGACATTGTACTTATTAAACATTCTTTAAACACCCTATATATTTTTACTGTTGTAGCTTCGTTATTAATTTCTTTGGTTTAAATTCCTATCGCGCAGGACATTTTTAAACACCTAAGATCGTCACTAAACCTTATAAAAAGTAAGGGACTTAATACGGATTCTTGAAAACTTAAAACCTGAACGAGGCGTATACCTACATCTGTTATTGAAGTGAAAGCAGTGAAAATTCGAATAATTCAGAAGCAGTTGAAGTAGAATCAGAACAAAGCTATTTTCCCGCTATACACTTTATCATTTTATCACTTTCCCTTATTTTGGCTGTTATCCAACATATCCTGAGTACTTCCTTAACGGAGGTGGATATTTATCATAAAATCTTCGTTGATTTATGTTTTGGTAGATAAAACCAGATTTTATGCAATGAAGGAATTTCTGTAAATGCCATAAATAAATTTGGCACTAACTCGAGGTTTTATTTCACCCATTTTCTGTTTTTATTTGATCGTTTGTGTATCTTGGAACAGGGAAAGAAATGTTATCGTATTATCGTGTGTAACAGATTCCATTATTTTTACGACTACTGACGTAAAACGGAGGGGACGTGACGATAATTCCTTGAATCATATTTATGGCCATTTTTATAAATACGTTTAACGACAACACAGTTTTCCAGTCTAGTCGGTAACAAGTCGGCACATTTTTCAACAGGTTGACAATCGTTGTAGATTTAAGATATTTTCCGTCCTAAGCGTACTTGAATTATATTCAATATGCGCCCCCGAATAAGAACATCTGTATATTCCTTACCTAAAAATGATATGTTGATATTTTTTTAAATTAGATAATGTCGTTCGCATATTTGATGAGAAATGTGTATCAGGTTTCTTCTAATGGCCTAAAAATTATGTGTTTTACTCGTTTAGATAAGAAGTCCCCCAGGTTCTCGAACGTGCGTTATTCGGTGTTCATTTCACTTTATTAATGAATTTTTAAATTTCAACGACGGTTATTATAAACGCAAATTAAGACAAAAACAAATTAAATGAGATGTTTTAGGCATTCGCCAGACGGAAATCATAAATAAAAATAGCACACTTAACTTCTGGTTTTACCAGTTTTTTAGGAAAAGAAATAATTCTGATTTTTTTTCAACTGACAAATTAAAACAACACAAATATACATACATATACTTAAGTCATTAAGAAAAGGTTCCATATTTTAAATAAATTAGATAAAATCACATAATTATCAAATCCTGACTTGTCTGTTCGAAATTACTTAAGTAACTTTACAGTCATAAATTTTTATAACCCGAAACCGTTAATTGTTGTTTATGTCTTATTGCTACTACTTTTATTCGATTCTCCAAATTTAACTACGACAGTTACAACTATTTAACTTATTTTCTTACGTTTTCTATTATTATGATGTTAATGAAGAACTCCGTTGTAATCTAAACCTATCGACATCCTTTGTCAATAAACTTGTCTTCTTCTAAAGCCATCAGCGTGAGACTCCTCAGGCTTGCCCCGGAAATCCTCCCCACAGTTCTTTCCGTTCTCTGCACTTGACAGACTCCATCTCAGCAGTCATTAATAAAGCACTCACCTTAAAATAAACCCTTTCGTTCTATAATAGACAGGTCACACCCTCCAACAGAACATAATTGCCTCGTCTTCATTGTATTCGAGGACCAAGACACTCGCGCTCTATTTATAATGATGTATGCGGTTGCACCCTTTTTCCTCTTTTCGAATCTAATCTGCTCGTACCTACATCGTGTACTAAAAGAACAAAAACGGAGCAAGGTAAGCTCGTTGGATTTAGATGCGGATTATATTTGCATGGTTCGGTTCCAAGAAAGCCCGTTGGCACATCGCACGTGCGTCTCTCACCGATCGTAAAAATGTGTGTTTGTGCGCCTGAAACTTTGCCAGATGCGATTAGCACGTAATGTACCTTGATTGTGGGTTTAAAGGTAGCAGAAAATAGGTTTCAAATTCGGTAGTAAATGGGTTTGTTTTTATTATTCGCGAGCCAATAGCTTACAGAGGTATGTTAGTTGGGTCGTTTTGATGATGAACGTTTCCGTTTGTCTGTTGCAAATTTGTTCGAGATAATCCTCGAAATTCCCAGACCGATTACTCGGAAGTTGTAAGTGGTGTTGCTCAAATGATCAGCTAATTACGAAAGTAGTAGAATTTTCAGTTATGTGATTTTTAATGAAATAAGTATGAAGTTACTAGCAAAATTAGTACCAGTTTCTTCATTCAAGTTTTGAAAATTAATTTATTCTGTTCTTTAATTCTTAGACAAATTTTTCTGCCTGGTTCATGAACTTATACAGTGTTACAGTCATCACATTTTTATTTTTCACAAACAAAGAAGAAAGCGTAGAAAAAGTCTTAAAGGGAATGGTATAATCTGGTTTTTTGACAGTTTTGGAAATGTACAGTGAAGGGTGAAGAAAAACTAAAGAAACAGATAGAGGGTAAAGTAGGGGATAGCATGTGATGGAAAATGGTATGAATTTATGGGAGAATTTGTTTGTAGAGGGTTTATAGAAGATTTTTTTCATAAGGGGAAATTTATTATTAATGGCGATTTGTTTGGTGATATTAAGTCCACTCTTAAAGATTTCATGTCCTAGGGAAATGAGGAACAATTTATAGAATAAAGAATTAAATGGTGTGCTTTCTATATATAAATGTGGTAAGAAAATGAATCATTAAACACGTTTTTTGTTAATAATTTCGGAGGCTTCCACGGTCGGAGTCAATATATGATCGTTTTCCGGGTTGGAACAGTGTCAATTGAGTTTTTGGGCACAACGTTTCGCACAGTGGCATCTTCAGGAGCAGAGTTTAGAAATTAGGAATAAGGCAAAAAAGCACAGTAACTCAGTATATCAATCATACCAGAGGCGAAACTCTTCTGACAGTAAAGAATGTGGTTGTGACCTTTTTAGAGGGTGGGGGAAACCGTCGTGGTTGAAGCTGATTGGACGGGTCCGGCGGAGTGGGAGGAAATAAACGAGTAATTGCCTTAGATCATATAATAAATAGATACCAATACTCAAACTGAAAGCTGTGACTAGACATGAAGCTATCTGTTGTCGTTTTCTACATCAAGAGGAGTAGTATAATGATATCCTTGTGTGATCACCACATCTTCATCTTTGTTATATGCATTTCATCTGTATATGTCTATTTCACTTCCATCCTTGTACCGCACCAGCGCAACAAATCGCTTTTGACAGATGTTTCTTCTAACCTCTCTTTCGAGTTGTTGTACAACAAACAATTTTTGAATTTAGAACAAAGATCCTATTTTAAGTGATGTAATCATAAAGGATCACAATTGCTGCCCAATAATTTGCTATTCTTTTCATTATCTACTGTGAATTATTTATAAAATCAAGCTGTCAATATCTTTCGTACGAAGTTAGTTCAGACATACTTCCTAAAATTTAGGCGCGCAAAATTCAAATAGTGATCAGGCAAGGATAGCTTCATTGTAATCCCTCCATGCACGAGAGAGATGTGTGATAGGAGGATGTCGTCACAGGCTCTGCTAGGGAAAGAACACGGCATGGTGGTATCTATTTATTATATGATCTAAGGTAATTGCATCCAGTGTGGGCTTCCAAATGTTTGACACATAATAACCATTGTCTCGGTTGAGATTATGAGGACATTTATGGATTTCAATAGCTTCACGGATTTTCCAGTCATAGAAACCACATTCCTATGCTTTGGACAGAACTTGGAAATTTTCAAAAAGAATGGTGTGACCGGGTTCAGGTTGATGTTCAGCTACGGCAGAGAGGGACAGACGACCTGGGGACTTAAGCTGATTGAACTCTTGAGTCATGAATATTTCTGCCAAAAAGGAAGATCGGGAAGATTCAATGGCTAAAGCAGTAATTTTCTAGATTCGATTGTTGAAAATAACCTACGTCAATTTTATCGTCGTGAAGTTGTATAAAAGCGTAACCTAAGGAAGCATAGTAATCGAGTCCATCTGACGAATTGCTACATTCATATTTTCTCGACGTTTCATAACCCCTAGAGTACGAAAAAAGTAATCTCCCGTTTCCGTTAGTCTATCTGTCTGGTGTCTGTATCTATTTTTATTAGACACGTAATCTCCGAAACTACTGGACCGATTGTTGTCAGATTTTGTACGTATATTAAAAATATCATGTGATGATACGACACTAACCAAAATTTTTCCAGTGATCCCCACCAACAACGTGATAATAACCCCTAAAAATTTTTCCTAGTAAGAAAGGTTTAAGTTTTTAAAATGGCATACTCCTGTACTTGTTCTTTATGAATTTGTCTTCAGATTTTCGCCAGAGCATCCAAATTTTAACAAAAAAGTCGAAATTATACTAGTATAAGCGGAGCGTTGGGTTTCAAACATGTAACGCGAAAATCGTTTACGGTTCGAATATCGCATTGAATTTTTTGTTTTTTATGTTATTACTGCTATTATCTTTTACTTTTTTTTATTGATCAGATATCAAGAACGATACACTGCATGTCGGAATAGACAGACGTGTCCTTGCTGAAGTAATGTCGATCAAATAATGTGCATCAAAATGTGTTAATATTTAAAGATTGTTAAAAATAAACACCCAGTCAGATTTACGAATTTAACTCGTTACTGTGGAAATTTGCAATTTAACAACCTTTAAATTTAACAAGTTTTTACAGAATTGCATCTATAGACTCCTTTATCAATGCATTCACATTTTGGAGCACTTGTAAATCTGTTTTCTGTCTTGGTCACTCCACACAAAATATAAGCAAGTGTGTTTTCGTCACATAATGCGTTTCAATGCGAAGTAGTAAGGTATGATTAATTAAAGTATATTACATTAATGAATTCAGAACAACAAGCACTACAAAAATATGAAAAAAAATTATAGTGTCATCAAAAAAAAGTTGAGGGTCTTGGACAAAAAAAAAATAGAATGTCAAAACACATTTATAGGATGTCATTTGCTTTTTACACTACTACTGGTTATGTGTTCGACCAATTTTTTTTTTAGTAGTAGAGCATGAAAATTTTAGAATTCATCAAATGTCAGTATAGAAACAATTATCTCAGTATCAAATTTTTTAACAAACTCCCACTACATTTTAGAAACTTACCTCGTAAGTCGATTTCAAAAAGAATTTAAGTTTTTTATAAACAACAAATAAACAAATCAGTTAGGTATCAAGTGTTATACCGAGATTATGTCACTAAAGACATAAAAAATGTCCTGTTTAATGCACTTAAAAACAGCTCATTTTATTTGGAAAGAACAAGTCGATTTCTTTTTCAAAAACCCAAACCTACATAATGCTCAAACGTAGTATAGGTTGAATAAGATTCTGCTAAGATAAAACTGATTTTGGCAAATGACATACCCTCTAAGAAAAGAGAGGGTGGGTGGCAGGGTTCAGTAGCTGCTAAGATATGACTGATTTTGTCAAATTAGATCCCTCTAAGAAAATAAAGGGTGGGTGGGCGGAAAATTAGTACATACTTCCTAAAAATAAGATCGATTTTGGAAAATGACATACCCTCTAAGAAAAGAGAGGACGGGTGGATGGGACTAGTACCTGTTAAGGCTAATTTTGGCAAATGACATATTCTCTAAGAAAATAGAGGACGGGCGGCTGGGGGTAGTACCTGCTGAGATAAGAATGATTTTAGCAAATGACGTATCCTTTAAAAAATTTAATTATTATAATATAGTCCAAAGGACTTTCATATTCTTTCCAAACAAGAATACCTATATCCTCAAGATTGTTTTAAATTAAAAAAAAAACGGTGTCCCAAAAATAGGTCAGGGCAGAATTTTCTAAAAATATGGGCTCTCAAATAATATACCATGGGTACCAAGGGTCTTCCCAATAAAAAAACACACTGCGGCGCTCAAAACTTTTTCAAATTCATAAAAAATAAAGCACTAAAAGCTCAAAAGATTTTTTCAAGTTCATCCAGCAACAAAACACCAGATTCCTTTAAATTTATCCGAAAATAGAAACTAGGGACCTAAAATTACCTTGCGAACATTTTAAACGTAGGGTTTTGAAAACTCTGAAAATTTTTGATACGTCAAACATTGTTGTCAAATGGAATTTTATCACATTATTAATTACAAAAACAACACAACCATATCTTTGTACCTTTTAACTGAAATGGTAATTAAACTTGGTCATGGGCGAGAGAAATATATTAATTAAGTTTTATTACTAGTTATTGTGATAATGAATGGGTTGTTTAGTTGTTAAACGTAGCAAAAAAAAAACAATTTTAAAATCATAACTGCACCAAAATGTGAGAAGGAATTTTTTTACTATTTTTCGCAGACTTAGCATTGATTGTAAAGAGCGTAACGAAGAGTTAATCCGCCATTTTCCAGACATTCGGTATATTTTTTTGAGATTCTTGTAGAGCTTGTTTTCCTTAATTTTTAATAATAATACTCACCCATACTCTGCCATTGCCTTTAATTCGAACGCATTATGTTACCAAAACACACATTAAATGCTAAAAAAAAACCTCAAAGCAGATTCATAATCCTCAAGTATAGGAATATGTTAAGTTACCTTATAACATGTGAATTCCACTTGAAGCCGTTTTGCATGTCACAGAATTGCCCCGAAAATTAGTGCCAAAATGTATGTTGGAAATTTTACAAGAAAAATATTATATATTTTGACAATAGAGTCCTTAAAGGATTGCACAGATGTTCAAAACGTAAACTAAAGGTAATGTTATGAACCCCTGCGCAATTTATTACGGACTCTACCATGGAAATGGTGAATATGTTTGTTGCAAAATTTCTAACATTAATTTTGCTAGTAATTTTCGGAATAATTCTGTAACGTGTAAAACGACTCTTCCTATGAAACATTTTGAGGGGACGTCGTCACTTTATTAATGGAGATGATTCGGTAAATTTTGGTTAGGGTTTACCATGTAGGTACACGATATTCCTAATATACATATAAAATTTGACCATCGTTCCGATGGTTTCGAACGATATCTGTTTAATAAAAATTAACACAGTCAGCAGACAGACAGACGGAAATGGAAACCCTATTTTTCCCTACTCTAGGGGGACATGAAACGTCGAAAAACATTAAAGGAGCCAGTAAACAAAAATGTAAAGTATTCGTTTCTTACGTAAACATTACGTGATTTTAACCTTACCTATATGAGTAAGTAAATGCCGACAATTTATTTCAACTTAACTTGACAACGAATGAAGCAATGCTTTTTTTATTAGAAAAACTTAACGACCGTGTTGTCACATATTAACAATTCATCCATTTCATAAAGAAATCGATTTTATACATCTTATCATAAAATCTTTGTCATTCCGCTTCCGTTGTTACTCAAATTCTATTTTTATTTAGCACAATTTTATTGTATTTTGCATTTTTTCTTGAATTTCCATATTTTTCAAGTAATATAAATGGACAGTACTGAGTCAAAAATCCAATTTTTGTGTGTATTTCTTAACTGAAAAACAATATTTTGTTACAAAACCTGTTTTGACCTTTTCAGTGAACAAGTATTACTTAGATTGTTGAAACTGATGTGTTTTGTCCGAAATATCTCAAATTTAAATCGCAAGTACAAATGTTTTTGCCAACTCAAGTGCCAAATATTTTTTATTTTCGAAAGTTAATTTTACGCTATAGTCTGTAGCTTCGCTTTTGGTGGAATTTTTCTCTCAAATAACACATATTGCTTATGGGTTTTGTCCTCTGCCAATTCAAAGTCCAACGCACAGTAAAGTTGGCGAAAACCGCGTTGTTGACGATGAGCCCTTTTGTTTTCTCACTCGACGTCACTTTTGACACATAACTTGAATATTTCGATGTCTCCATTGTAAATTGTCCGTAAATTGTCTACCACAAGATTTCATGGGTCTTTATAAAATTCACCAACGCCTCAATTCTCCGATAAAAATTACGTTGTCGATGCACTTGGCACAGTAGCGTATTTGCGAACACCGAAATGGCTCGAGAATACTTCAAAGCAGTCATTGAGAACACCATTCTCGAGGAGCGGGAGACAGACACGTCGGACACGTGCGAAGAACTAGACATGGAAGCCGCTAGCGACAGCAATCGTGAATTTTTCGGTCAGGTCTGGTTTTGACGCTGTCACTTTTTTTCTTTCAGATTCTATGGGTCTGCGTTCGCCCAGCGGACCGATGCGAGGCAGGTCCGTCAAAGAGTTCGAGGAGCAGCTAGCCAACCTCAAAAAGGAGAATTTTAACTTGAAACTCAGGATTTATTTTTTAGAAGAGAGGATGGGTGTTAATTTTAATTTAGATAAAGAAAATATAGTTAAGAAGAATGTAGAGCTTATGGTGAGTAGTTGGGTCGCGATTTCTCAAAAAGTTTCATGTTTTGCTTGGATAGGTCGAAGTCGAAAGTTTAAGAAAAGAGGTCCAAGAAAAGCACGATCTGTTATGTCAAGCGGTAAAAGCGATGGAACTGGAAGATGAAGAACATAAGAAGTTGTTGTGCGACAAAGATGAAGTTCTAACGGAATGTCATCAGGAAATCGAAAATCTCAAGTCCCAGTTACTTGTAAGTAGCTTTTTGGTATTAATTTACGTCCGGTCGTCTCAAATAAAAGCAGTTTGTGCAAAAAAAGGTCATATAAAATTGATTGAGTTGATGCTTTAGTAGATCATTCTACAAGGAATTCCGTTGCGAACACATTCTCACAGTTATGAAAGTTAGGTTATGTTAGCATATGTGAATAGTAATCGATCATTACGACGAAGCGGCAAATTTCACGTTTCAAAGCCAACTACGAGCGTTTATAACAATTATAGTATACAAGGTGTATAATATGATTGAGAAAACACCAAATTTGATGTCATTAGCACTAAACGTAACATACTTTTGTACGAAATTCGAAAAGTTTGATTTTATTTTATTGAATTTTCATAATTTCGTTACTAATACCAGTACAGGACAACCAACAGTAGACCATGAACGAAAAATGAAAACACTCAGATATTTCAAGAAAATATTGTTAGCCGATCTAAAATACAGTAATTTTTTATTCCGTTTAATTAAAATTTACATGAGTTCAAAATAAAATCGTGCTACGATCAAGTGTCTAAAGCAGATTTTTATTACTATATATTTTCTAGTCTAGTTTATGTTTTATAACCAGTTTTTCAATTTTCAAATTTTTTATGGCTTTTTTAAGGAGGAGGAAACAATTGTGGTAAAGACCATCCGACGAACCACTACTTTACTGTTTTCTCGAGTTTTCATGACCCCTACTGTATGAAAAAATAAGTCACCCGTTTCCGTTTGTCTGTCTGTCGTCTGATTGTTGTAAAGTTTTATTTGTATTTTAAGAATTTCGTGTAGATGGTAAACCACTAACCAAAATTTGTTGGTCATGCACATCAACAGTTTGATAACATCTAAAAATTGTGTACAGTAAATGTTATTTAAATTTTATAGAACAACGTACTTCTAAACTTGTGGTTTATGAATCCGCCTCGATTTTTAACTATTTTTTTATTTATTATATAGAAAAAATAAAATTTCGCAAAATCAAATTTTACCATTTTTCGAAGAAACTGTATTTGTTGGAGTGTATACTACAGGGGCAAGGGAAGTTCCGTCTGATACCGTAGGCCAGTTTTTTATTTTAAGAGCAGATACAATAAAACATTAACTAGAAATATCCGAGTAAACATTGTACACATAAATAACACTTACTATTTAGCAATCTAAATGAAAATAAATTCTCTATTGCTCAAAACTCGCAAAAATAAAATATAAAAAAATTTGATAAACATAATGAAAAGCAAGAAAACGCGTAACTTTCCATTTTTCTTGCTACTTTCATAGTTTCAATTCCAAGCAATTGAAAAACTAAATAAAAATTAAAAAATCGCGATTAACAAAATTCATAGATTTTTTTTAAATCGTAATGTTTTCAAATCTCAGTTTTTCCAATTATGGTTTGCTGTTAAGTCGATACTTCTGCCATTCCTTTTTTTTCCTTTTTGTCTTCTCTTTTCTCAATGTTGTAAAACTCACATTTTTAACATTTCAGATATTTTTTTACTATTCCATTTTATATACAGGTGATTAAAAAATTACGGATACACTAGATGGTACGTTGTAGAGAAACCACTAAAAAACAAAAAAAAATGTTTAAAAAAATCTGAACTCTTGAAAATAATAAAGTTCAAAGTTAATTGTTTAATTTCGTAATTCTGATCTATTTTAATGTGAGCTTAATTAAAAATTTGAAATTTATAAAAATTAGCTAAAATCACATCTGTTAACGATAAAAAATTAATACGTGGATCGTAATCAAGCAAATAAGAGAATACACTAAAACAGATCCGAATTACGAAGTTAATTCTTCCTTCAACTTTGAAATTTTATATATTTTCGAAAGTTTAGTTGAGGCATTGTTTTAACCATTATTTTAGAGTTCTTCAGTTATTTTTCAACAAGGTTCCATCGATCTTATCCGTGGCTTTTGGATCATCCTGTAACATTCATACTTTTAACAAGTAATTCTAATTTGCAAAAATATGAACTACTTTTTCCTAAAGGAATACGCCTTAAAAATTATTAAGTATTTTTAAACTTTTTGAAAAAAAAGTACAGTGAAACTTTTACACCGTGCCGTCAAAATCCCGTTAAAAAAATGGTCATGAAAACTTGAGCAAACTCCAAATTTTCTGAAACAGTGCACAAAAACTGTCATTTTATATTTTTAGAATATGTAGTTTTTATAGAAAATTGTTTGAATATCCAATAAATTGTGTAAATCGGTATTCGAACAGATTTATCGTTTTTTTCCCTTGCTTTGATCTTTTTTGTTTATTTGTTTTTTTAGTGATTTTCTTTTTTCGGTAGCTAAAAATTTTACAGTTTTAAAAAATATCGATAATAACTATACTTCACTTCAGTTGTATACAACTTAACATGTCATTTGTTAACATAAATATCAAAAATGTTATTAAGCCGAATTTTTTATCCACGTTCAGTCATAACTCAAAAAATTGTCTCTGTATTTTTTCATTTGTCTTCCGTCCTTCGTTTGTTTAATTGATTACTCTGTTTAAGGAAGTTTTAATTTCACTGTTTTGAAAAGTGAAAGTTTTACTGTATACACATATCGAGTGTTCAATTGAAAAAGTCATCAAGTTGGCCTTGATTTTTAATAGACATTACGAAGTATGTCTACAGTTAACCTAAAATGTAATCGATGACAGCTGACAACGTGGAAATGTCAATAATATACAAGTATGAATTAATAAAACGCATGCGTTGTTCGTTACAATTAATTTAAAAATGAATTAACAAACTAGCTCGAAATTTGGCGAACGAGCCTATTTGAGTTGCTGCTAAAGGAAGTATGTTTTGCTAATACAGAATTTTATTTATTTTTGTTTTTAGTATGCTATAATAGATTTATTATTTTTTAAATAATGATTTTATAAATAGTAACTGAAGTCGTAAATTGCTAGTAATTGCAATTTATAATTTTAACTACAGATATGAATTAAAAAAAAAAAACTACAAATACCCGTTTAGTGAAACAAAAATATATATTTCGTTCGTTGCAGTATAAAATATTTGATTGAGAAATCAATTCGACTCGAAATCGTGGTGTTTACTTTTTCTAAAATTAAACCCAAGAATTCCTGCTTTCTGAAAATAATTGTAAACGTAAAATGTATTTTGTTAAATTTATGTTTTGTTTTAAAAATCACTTTAAAGCAAAGTTAAATTCAGTAGTGCGGTATTTAGACCTGTTGCCAGAAGACGGGCGATTTTTGTTTCTCTTCCCTCTAATGTTTCCAGCCGACAGCTGAAAATAACATAAAACATCGGTTGTTAAACATTTGGAGTAGGATGTCAAGTTGTATAGGAATCTCGCAATATTTATGTCGGCGCCTCATTGAATATACTAATTTTAAGGAAAAAAGGAGAATGTAAAGATGTAAAAAACTGAAACAAAATAATACCACTTCAACTCACAATAACAGTTAAATTTTTCAGAACCACGATCGAATACTGCATTATACTATGTTTTTTTATTTTAAATTATAGAAAAAAATTAATATACAAGCTGTACTGTTTCTGTTCTGTTTAATATTTTCCAATAACGTAATGTTGTAGTTCAAAGCTTCTGCATAGTTAAGTCATACTTTTTAGACTTTGCCTTCTGAATTGTTGGCCTCTTTGATTCCTTTGCAGCTCCTTTACATGTTTTCGGTACTTTGTGCTTTTCCTCTGCCATCATTTTAGAAAGCTAAAATAAAGCAGCCATCAATGTATATGAATCGTAAGACTTCCACAAAATTTTGTGACAATATAGTGAAAATGCAATGAGAAGAACGAGTTGTTTTATTTGGTTCTTCTGAAAATATTTCCACTTCACGCACTCGTACATTAAAAAAATTAAAAATACAAAATTTTCTACAACAAATTGTATTTAAATCACCAGTAATTACGAAATTTCATTTTGAACTTTTCTCTTCAAGGACTTAAAAGCGGAAAGCGAAATTTTGTCATCGAAGTGTTATCAGTCGGAATTAATGTCAAACGAAGCAATCAATACACAAGACAGTGCGCTGAAACATCTCCAAGAAAAAATCAATATGCTGGAAGAAGAGGTACTCCTTTTTTCCCTCTTGTTTGTTTTTGGTGTCGGTTTTTCTTGTTTGCTTGTTTTTCTATGTGTCAGTTGTGCGTTCAGTGTTGTGCTAATTAAACCGTGCTTCTGTTTTCAGCTGAGCCAAGAAAAACAAAACAGCGCCGCCATCCAGATAATCATGGACCAAAACGACTCCCAGATCGGCAGCCTGGCGGCGCAGCTGGACGAAGCCACCAAAAAACTCGCTTCCAAAGAGGGAGAGCTCCAAAAGATCGCGTGCCAGCTGGACGAAGCCAAGGCCAAGTACCAGGGCGTCCACAAGCGGCTGCTTGAGAAGACGCAGCTCGTGGAAGAGCTGTCCGCGGACGCCGAAGAGCTGCGTCGGCGGCAGTCGCTCACCGCCGGCGACCTAGAGAAAGAGCGCAAGCGCTACGAGAAGCTCAAAGCCAGTGCTGACCAGAAAACCGCCGAGCTTCAGTGCAAACTGGAAGCTTCCTTGGCCGAACTGAAGAAGAGCCAGGAACTTGTGGTGTCTAAGAGTCCCGGCCGGCGATCCGGAAATACTGATGCCGATTCATTTTCAGTTCAGAAACCAGCAGCATCTCCTGGATCTCCGCAAAAAGACACATTCGTTCTTCCAACAATCCCTTCGCCGGTAATCACTCCCACTTCCTCTCCTTCTCCCTCTGTCAATTTCGCCTTTGACAATGTCACCGAGCTTAAACATATTATCGAGCAGATGAAGACCGAGCGCGACTCGCAGCACCAGAAGATCGTCAAACTCAAGGCCGAGCAGATGAAGGCATGTAAGATCATCAAGAGCATGATCGATTCGCGCAACAAGACCAACGAGGAGATCGTCGCGTTGAAGCAGAGGAACGACGACCTCGAAAAGGAGCTGGAGGAGGCGGCGTCCAAGTCGAAGGCAGAGGGGAACGGAGGATCGGATGTGTCTACCAGCGACAGCCGCACGCCTAACGAGGTATATAGATGTAAACGCTTCTTGAAGGGGGACGGTAAACGACGTTTTTGACTTATTGCCTGATCGTTGCATGTTTGAGGTGGCTTTCTTTTTTAGTGTAACGCTTACATTTTCTTTATAATAAACACGAATGTTTGTACAGGTCGAGTTCGAGATGTTTTCTACACGTTGGTTTAAGTATTTAGAAACACTTAATTTGGTGAACGTTGAGAATGTGTATTGCCGAATTGTGAAAAACGAACCAAAGTAAAATGTCTACCAAAACTTGCTGTATGGCGTTTGTGGATACTGAGCGCTTTAATTTTTCTGTGATTGTATTAAGATGTAGATTATGTGTTTCAGAGGGTAATAAAAGAACGTCGGTTTTTATCGTGTCTGATGGATGTATATATTTTATTATTATTATTATTTTATTGATATCGCGTATTTTAATAAAACATGTTTACAGAGATTGAACAGTTGGTCCCACTGTTTCATTGTAATTCGTGAATACTGTGTCATTTCTTTTCTTAGAGTTATATTAACATTCTTAGAATATTCTTATCTCAATTTTAAATTACAATGAGCTTTTCTCATACAAAAATTAAAATTTATAACAACAGACTTATTTCTTGCCTTTTATGACCTTTATTATCATCGCAAATCTAATTCTTAAATAACATGCATTTTTGAAATTATATCTTTTCCATCATTGTTGTTGTTCTTGTCTCACTTAACTGCCGCACCTTTGAAAAAATTTCGCATATTCCATTAGTAACTCAGTATTAATTAAGCTTCCTAAAAAATAAAGGTCTGAATATAAAAAATTACAATCAACATTTAACGGTAACCGGCATAAAAAATGAAATATTGAAAGTCTACACGGACCTCGAAATTGTCAATAAAATTTTGTAAAGAAAAGCAAACTGATAAAAAATAACTTTCCTTCTACATTTTAAATTAGGAAAAAATTGGTCTAATAGGATGTCTGCAGTCTATAAGGTGTTTCACGTTCAGTTGGCTTAGTAGGAAACCATCGGCAATAAATTTTATTTGGGCGAATTCATGGCAGTGTTGTCAATAACCAAAAACCTAAAAAAAAATCGGACACACTGTATACCGTAATATTACACTTGTTTGCACCAAAAACTTGAACAGAACCGTCAAAAAGTCGGCCTAAGTTTATTTAGACAAAACTTCTCGCGCCTAGAAGTCCAGATTTTTTGAACAATTACAAACTTTGACTTGAAAATTTAATTTTTTATGATAACTTCTTTATGTTAAAATAAAGATAGTAAAGACGATTTTTTTTACACGTCATCAACGTTTTAGGAAAGACACGTATATCAATTTGGATATGTTCAGTGTAATACGTAATAAAATAAATTATCTGATTCATTTTTTTTTCAAGTAATCAATAAGAAATTCTTAAAAAATAAAAATTTTCATTTAAAAAATGTAGATGTCTACGATAAAAATCAAAACGGATTCATAAATCATCTAAATCTAAATTCAGGAGTATGTTATTTTATAAAATTTAAAATTTAGTAAGCACAATTTTGATAATTTGACAAATTTTGGTTGAAATTTTACCAGCTAGACGGTATTCTTAAGATAAAATTTGACAGTAATCGGTCTGCTAGTTTCTGAGATTATCTGCAAAATAACACGAAAGACAGACGATAGACAGCCGGAAACGGGTGATCTAGTTTTTCGTACTCCAGGGGTCAGAAACGTCGAGAAAACACGAAAGTCCTTCACTCGTTTTTAAATCAAATTTTATAGTTTTTCAAAAAAGCGATATTCACCATTTTTTACTTCCCACGGAAGGCTAAGGAAGTATTGTAACAAGATCCTTCGAGCGAATGACTAATTTCATGTTTGCTCGACATATCATGATCTCTAGAATATGAAAAAGGGGTCTCCAAATTAACTCCGAAAGTGCAAAACCGAATGCTCTGAAATCTTGAAAACCTTTTAGGGTTCAAATTTATGTTTTTATCCTCCCAAAAAATTAATGACAAAAATTTTGTTATGGTTTTTCCTTGGCAAATTTTACCCTAGACGCCCAGATTCTTGGAAAAAAAATCTAAATTGTATCACTTGAAACACACGCATAGCATGCTCCATTGTCTATATTTTTATTTTAACGTGCGGGCGTACCCATAAAAAATTAAATTTTATAGTGTTTCGAAGAATCTGTATTTGTTTGCCTGCATTTCAAGTTTTGTCAAAATAACTTCGGACCAATTTTTGTTTAAAAAATCTGTCTAGAGTATGTGTTATCTCAAAAAGTTCTAGTTTCGATTTCAAAACTTTCTGTAATCAAACCAAGAAATTTTGGTCTTTGTCGACTTTATTCTAAGCGTTTATGGGATTATGGAAACCCGCTACGAAGAGGCGAATACCTCTCGCTGCTGGGTACCGACAGTACCATTTATCATAAAATATTTGTGATTGCGCATCTATTGTTAAAATTCAACCTTTAACGAAATTTTAAACAATAAAAATCAAATTTTAACACTAGACTTCTGCTAGAAATTGTGCAGATTCATGTACCAATCAGAAACTTTCGTAAGGGGTTTCTATGCTACCAACTCCCAAGTGGAATGCAGTATATCGTACTAAGCCCCATTATTTTATTAATATTTTTCATAATATTGACTCGAAAAAAACGGTATATTGTTGTAGTTTTTCATTCTATGGTTATTTTAAATTTCAGGGAATTCGTCACGTAAGAAGGTGTTTTGTAATGAAAACGGGCAGAACAAAGTTGAAAAAAAGTCAAGAATGAAACCCCTGACACATTTTTTATAAGACTGATATTTTGTATTGTGTTTTTTAAAGACATTATAAGCGTCCTGAAATGGTCATTTAATTTTATGAAAACTATTTTTAAATGAAAATTTTAATGGTGGGTTCGTGCAACTAAAATTAATGAATTTAATGTTGTCAGTATTACATATTTATTATTTTATTTTACTTGTATAAACTCACAATAAAAGAGGAATACAAATTAAGTGTATGGAGTAAATATAATGCAAAAGTGAAGTTAAAATTCGGAAAAGATAAATAAAACTGTAACATGTATGAAAAAAAAAAAATTAATAACACTTGATCAAATCAAATATTGTAGTAACAGTGGTTTTAAGTATTAAATTCACACAATTTACAAAATATAAAGTTTCACAAAATTATTATAACTAAGTGTTTTTTTTATGATCAACCTTATTTAAAAGTTCATATTCACTTTATTAATTACTTAAAAAAATTGATAATAGTATTTCAACAAAAAAAAATGATTTCAATGACGTTATAACTTTTCACAGCATCAGCGTGTACTATTTGCATAGTTAACAATATTAAAAATTCTAGAATTAAAAAAAAAATAATTCTTCAGAAGGAAAAGTTTGTAAAAAAGAATTGTCAATATGTTTTTAATTTTAGAAAGACCTTTACTCAATTGAAATAGCTTGCATATTTAACAAAAATTCCGAAGTTATGTACTCGGAATCTGAGAACTGTCATAAATATCTGTGGACATTTACACCACTTACCATAATAAATTTCATTTTCACTTACATTCCAATAATTCCATCGAAATTTAAAAATTAATTCACTCTGTGAATTCATTTGAAATATTACATCGTGTAATGGGTGGAACAACATCGGAATGGACCATCAAATGTATAAATATCTCGTCAAAATATCTTTCATAAACACCATTTCTAGACGAGCTTATGAACATAAAAACGACATAAAATCGCCATATGGCTTACACAACATTCTTCCGGACGACTGACCCGATTTTTGAAATATAATCACAAACGAGCAAAAATTTTGTTGCTTTTGGTTTGATTTTTTTAATGCTTATTTATTAAAATTTCCATTCCTCATTCCTTCTCATTATGTACTTAACAAAAATGCTTCTTTTTTACATTCCAACTGCGGCTTTTAGGCACAATGCTAGCGCATGCTCGTAAATATCAAATCTCTGTCCGATTTGTGTGAATAAGCTTTAGCGCGAGACTGAGCCAATGTTTATAACACGCCTTCATCTATTTATAAATCTACCCAAATAGCACCGAGTTCACTTCATGTTTCTCAACCCCAGTCATCATTTCCCTCGCTATCAGATGAACACAATTCCAATAAAAATGAGAAAAACAAGAGCAAGCTTATTTTTGTAACAGTAATGTAATAGTGATGTTTTCTTGCATATGTTCTTCCAAAAAGGTAGCGTATTTAGATATTTGTATTAGCTTATAGTGTAGTTTTTGGTTGTGGAATTCGCTTGTTAGCTTGCTTTTTAGGCATGATGATGACGGACTCTAGTGAGTAAACACTGATTGTAATATCGATGTGTGTAATAAGTTCGACAATAAAAGCATGCAAGTTTTGGTTTTTGGTTTTATTTTCTTGTGTCTTTGTCTCTCTTTGTGTTCACTAAATCTGTGTGTTTTCACTAGAATTCAATGGACGAACAAAGCGGGGAGTTGATTGAGCATTATAAAGCTCTGACTGACGAACTGGACGAGAAGAATAGGGTTTGTAAAATAGAAACGATAAAGAGGTTTTCTTACGACTCAAATTGCAGATACTGACTGCGACGTTAACCGAAAAAGACAATCAGATGAAGATGTTGCAAGAACAATACGAGGAGATGTTGCACAATATCAAGGAAAAGGAAGAACACATCGTCGACTTGGAGTTCGAACTGTTAACTGTAACCCAAGACAAAAACGGGGTAGTTCGTGAAATCGACACCGACAAGCAACTCGAATACTACGTCAAACAACTCAAAGAAAAGGAGGAAGAAATCGAGCGACTGAACACAAAGTTGCTTAAGAAGAACTGCGACCTGCAGGGACTCGTCAACAACGAACTGTGGGAGAAAAACCGCGAAATCGAGAAACTCCAAAAAAAACAAGCGTCGAAGTTGCTCGAGAACAAAGACCAGGAGATCGAGAAGTTGCAGAACGATTTGAAAACCAAAGACGAGCAGTTGGGTTTGATCAAAGACAAAATTTCCGAACTAGGTTTTGATATCGACCTTGACGGTGGAGACGTGACCATCGAAAATCACCTACAAACCGAATTGGAGACGTCGGAGAAGTTGCGACTTGAAGCGAACGAACTTTGTGCCGTCTTGAGCACCCGACTGGAAGAGCTGGCGATATTTTTGGACTCGTTGCTGAAGCAAAAGTCGATTTTGGGCTTCTTGGGGCAGAGCGAAAACAAGCGACTGCGCCAAATTATCGACCAGAGTCTCGATTTGTCCAGGTCGTTCACGATGAGTATGATCCTCCAGCCGGAGCAGAGCCTGCTACAACTGACCAACATTTCAAGTCTTTTGAACGATGTTGAATCGAAAGCGCAGGATGAAGGCGACGCTGGAGAAGAAAATCGGGTTAGTATAGTCCCGACGAACGTCAGTCTTACGTTCAAAAGCCACCTTCAAATGAAGGGTGAGGAAGACAACTCGCTGATCATTCAAGCGCTTCGCCAGCAGATCGTCAATCTTAAGTACGAACTCCAATTGAGGGATGTGGAGTTGAACAAAATTAACATTTATACGAACTACACTGAGTGTTCTTCCGATAAGGACGAAGATGTTGCTAGATCGAATTTGAACACGACTTCAACTACGCTGAAGTACAAGAGCGACAACCAGTCGGAGTCGGAAGCGTGGTCTGAGCCCGATCGTTCCGTCTCAAGAGCTAGAATGGGGCTTCTTGAAGGCAGCAACCGATCAGTCTCGAGTAAAAAAATACAGCCGAATACTTCAACCGACTCGACTGAAGACGAAGATGTGGACAGAACATCCAAAGTATCATTGAAAAAAGGTTTATTAACCGAAAGTCGAAGCACCATTTTAGAATTGCACAAACAAGTTTGTGACTTGGACCAGAGGTTAAACCAGAAGCAGTCAGCCTTCTGCGAAGTTACGAAAATGAACAAGAAACTTCGCCAAGAAATAGAAAACTTAGGAATCAAGTTGGGGGACACGGAAACTCAGCTAAGTGAAGCGCTAGAGAAAAAAGAACAAGCCGAAAATGAAGTCCAGCTATCTCAAACGAAAATCAAAGAACTGGAGGAAGAAAAACAAGAACTGGTTTTGACTTTGGACAAGAAAAATGTTGAATCTCTAGAAATGCTCACTCAAATTGAGTCGGAAAAAGAGCGCGCTTTGGAGGCGGTCAAAGAAGCGGAAGCAGCTGCCACAATAGCGACGAATGATATGAAAATCGCTGAAGCGAAATTGCGCGAAGTCCAACAACAAATGAACGAACTAGAGAAAAGCCTGAAAAGCGAATATGACAGACGCTTGAAAGTACTCGAGGAAAAATCTTTAACCAAGATCAACGAAATTCAAAGCAACGCCGAACTCGAAATTAAGTCGCTTCATATCACCATCCAAGAAATACACAGCGAATACGCAAACAATTACGTGAAAAAGTGCCGAGTCGAGGAAGCCATTGAAGAAATCGAGCGGCTAAGAAACGAAATCGAAGTATTTGAAGATCGAATTGACACAATCAAACGTGAGAAAGACCAAGTCGTCACTAAATTATCAGAATATGAAGACAAATTCAACATTCTAAGAAGCGACTTAGACAACGCTACTTTACAATATTCGGAAGCGGTGCTCGAAAAAACGAAACTCGCCAACGAAAAAGCTCTAATAGAGCAAGAACTCAACAGAAATTCGTTGAAGGAAGTTGACACAAGACGGAAGCTCGATCAGGTTAGTATCTCGCACTTGTAACAACAATACATGTTTTTTTTAAGGTCGAAAACGAGTTGTACGAACTGCGTGAAAACCACCAGAAACAAGTGAGCGTGCTGCAGACACAAAAATCCAAACTCGAGGTGCGCGTGAGCGAACTGGAATCCTCAAACGCCGAGCTTCATAACAAACTCGTGAAAATTCAAGCTGGTTGTGGAGATCATGTAACAGCGTCTGTGTCTCTACCAAACACACCTAATTTCGTAAATCAAATCGTGTCGTTCAGACGCCAGCACTCCGAAAATTCGGGTTACTTATCAGAGGATCACTTGTTAGACGATGCTAGAACTAGCGCTAGAACCCTGAGTAACCGATTGATGCCCAATCAAAACTTCGACATTGAACGGAATGAAGCTAATTCTTCACCAGACTTAGGCATAGAGAGCGATCATGGCAGATTTTCAAGTCTAGAAACTCACGTGAACGTGCAGAGACCGCTTCTGCAAACTTTGGAATTGACTGAATCAATGAGTAATTTGTTAGACGTGGAAAATAACGACGCCCAGTCGGTTAATTGCGGTGAGTATCACAGTATTCTGGTCTTTACATTACTGATTTTTTGGTCTTAGATGATTCCCACTGTTGCCAGAAAACCATGGAAATGGCCCATGAAAATAGCGACTTGAAACGTAAATTATTGAGGACGAGGAGAGCGTTGGAAGAAACGGTGACCCAGTTGACATTAGCCAATCAACGGAAAAAGCAAGTGGAGAAAACCATTTGCAGACAAATTCATAAAACAAGTCAGGTATTAAGGAAGGCAAAAGCCAATTTAGATTCGGGTTCAGAGACTGATGTATACAAAAAGTAATCGTCACTTTATTTATATTAATTTTTGTATGTATTTAAGTGTAGTAAAAACTATTTTCCATTTTTCTTTCTTATTTGTATTGTTTTTTAATTTAAGGACGTAAATGACTGGAATGTGATATTTCCTGTGTCTTCTTGTGCCAAGAGTGTACAAAATTCTCGTAGTTTATTGTTAATAAAGTTGTAGTCTAAGTGTTATTTTTAAGAAATTCGTTTGAATTTTAAACAGTATTGTGATATAAGTGTATATTTTAAGAAGTTGTAAATATTAACTTTGAAATACTAAGTTTTTGATTTTTGTATAAACTTTGGTTTTTATTCATCCCTCCTCTTCTCTTATTAGTGTCAGGAATAAATAGTGTGGATCAAGGTTTGTCATACTACACAGAATTTTTAAATTCTATATTAAAATATGGTGTTAACAGAATAATAATTTTCAAATATTCATTTTTAAAAAATTTAAAGATTTATGTCCTAGTCAATGATATGGTTGATTATCTTTACCGCTAGGTTTGTTTTTGTTGAAAACGTTAAGCTTAGTAGCCTCCTGTTGCGCTAAGTTTAGTAACAAATGGCTGCTCTCTAAAATCTGCATGTACACAACATAACGAAACGTTCAACAGTGATCATCTAGCAATAGTTACCTTTTTAAATCCGGCTTCAGTATCGCGTATCGTCCTATCATAACTCTCACATAGTGTTTTATGTTTTTCCAGATTGTCACACACGCCCGAAAGTTTGTCTTGTAAAGTTTCGATGTTTTTTTCAATGGTTGCTTTCTCCTGTTCTTCCTGCTGGACCACTTGCAATAAATCCTTTCTTTTTGTTCTTAAGTCTTCCAGGCCTTAAATTTGTAGGTTAAGGTTTGCACCAAGGACGCCACCTTGATACTTATTACCGTCATTTACTTACATTTTACTAATTCTTGGTTGTATGTCTGTAGTGTTGCACCATGTTGAGACATGTTATTACGTTTCATGGAAAATTGTTTCGGTTTTCAACACTTTAAATTTTGAAGTTGGATCTTGCTGGAGAAACTTTGTTTTGATTTTAAATTAGGCCAATGGAAGGTGTGGGTATGTGGCAACCAATAGCGTGCGGCTGCGCGAATTGGCGGGAATTATAAAATAATGTCATTTAAGCAATTTTTTTGTGACACCACTCAAAATTGGAACAGGGTCACTAGCTAAAGTAAAAATTGGTCTTAAAGGAGATACTGTCAACTTCGGTAATATTCTAGGGTGGAAATAAATTTAATTTTGATGATCTGGATGGTTTCGACTGTTGTTGCAGATATTTAAGAAAAAAATCTCTAAATAAAGGAACTTTGATGGAGAAAATTTATTAATGGTTTGAGAATTATTTTCTACCGAGTCTTGAATTTATTTTCTTGCACAAATTGCACAATGGAGAATACATTGGTGTTGTGGAAACTGTAGTGATTATTAATTGTGGAACGACGTGCACTTTTAACAACGATTTATTGATTATTATGTACATGTCAATATATATATTATATGATGAAAGTATTTATGTGTTTTCGCGACGCGTGCCCGTTGACGGGTTGTTGGTGACTCTATGTCCGCCACTCGTTCGTCCAGGAGGGCGGTGATGAATCAATTTGGGGGTGGTACCGAACACCCGACGAGAGCCGAGCAGCCGAGAACTTCGGGTGGTACCACACATGACTTCCCCTCTTGAAGGTGCGTCCTTCAACATATTACGACTGGCTGGCCTAGAAGGGTAGCCTGGAAAATTGAAAATTGTACCAAAATGTCTAAACGTGAAAAACACCTATAAATAGTCAGTTCGCATCATACGTAATGTCAATTGATCGCACACTAATTTGTGTCTATGGGTAAAACACACACTTTACGTAGGGCGCGTTTGGTGAGTCCATGAACAGTTTTGATTGTTACCACCCGCACTACACCGTCGTCCCCTGGATGAATTTCCGTGATCCGTCCGGTTTTCCATGTGAGAGATGGTACATTCTCTTCTATAATGAGCGCGAGTGACCCAACTAGCGCGTCCGGGTGGTCTTGCTGTTTCTGCCATTTGGATCTTGTTTGCAGTTGCGTTAGGTACTCGCGACTCCAGCGTCGCCAAAAATGCGTGCGAATTTTTTCTACTAATTGCCATCGGGACAGTTTATTAATCGGCACCTCCGTCACATCGTATTCTGGAAAGGAAGTTAATGGCTCTCCGATGAGGAAGTGACCGGGTGTTAGGATGCTCAGGTCGTTGGGATCGGACGATAAGGGGGTCAAAGGTCTTGAATTTAAGCATGCTTCAATGCGTATTAAAAGTGTGGACATTTCGCTAAAAGTCAGATGGGCGTTGCCCACTGTTTTTCTTAAATGAGTTTTTACCGCCTTTACGTTAATTTCCCATAATCCTCCCATGTGCGGGGATTTGGGAGGTAAGAAATGCCATTTAATACCCATTTGGGCGGCCTGATTAGCTATAATATTTTTGTTTGCGTTGTTAAAGAACTGAAACAATTCTTTCAGTACGTTACGTGCCCCTACGAAGTTAGTCCCGTTGTCAGTATAGACATCGCGAGGGTGTCCGCGTCGACCGATGAATCGGCGAAGAGCGGCCAGAAATTCGGTAGTTGTTAAGTCCGGAACAAATTCAATATGAATAGCCTTTGTGGCGAAACACACAAATATAGCTATATACGCTTTGGCTAAACGTTTCCCGCGGCCTCGCGATTCCCTAATCCACATCGGACCGGCATAATCGATTCCTACCGATAAAAACGGTCTGCCAAATTGGACCCTGTCTTTTGGTAAATCGCCCATTTTGGGGTTAGGTATGGTCGGGTTAACTTTGAAACAATTCAGACAACGATGTAATATTTTGCGTACTGTACATCTTCCCGAAATTATCCAATACTTTTGGCGAAGTGCTGCCAATGTTGCTTGTGGACCAGCATGCAATTGCCGTTCGTGTTCATATTTGACCAATAAATTAGTAACGTGGTGGTTTTTCGGTAGGATAATCGGATGTTTGATATCATAAGAGAGAGATGCCTTTTGTAACCTACCTCCCACTCTTATAAGCCCGGTTTGATCAACGAATGGACTGAGCGTTAATAATCTTGATTTTTTCGAAAGCACCTTATTTTCGCCTAAAATCTTTAACTCTTCGACAAATTCATTTTTTTGTATTAACCGCATTATTTTATAATTTGCCTCTTTTAATTCTTCGGACGTTAAGAAAGCTTCAATATTCCTGTTATTTATGTTTTTGCAATTATTTATGAATCGGAGAGCCCAAGCGAAAACACGTTGTAATTTACTGAAACTTGAAAATCGAGTAAAGATTGGTAATTCTGCCCTTTCAGTGCTAACTGTTAAAACAACTCGAATTTCCGGCGTATCAATGTTAGATAGGTTTATTTTCGAAATTGGCCATTGCCTTTCGTTTTTGCTCAAAAATGGGGGACCCTTAAACCACGATTCGTTTCTAGATAGTTTGATTGGTGATGCCCCTCGACTTAATATGTCTGCTGGATTAAGTTCCCCACATATATGTTTCCAATCAGAAACTTCTGTTAGTGTGTTTATTTCAGAGACCCTATTTGCCACAAATGTTTTTAGTGATCTCGACTGCGTGTTTATCCATGCAAGTACTATACTAGAATCGCACCATAAATATTGTCGTGAAATATTTAAATTTAAAGCATGTCGTACCCCTTTTACTAGCCGTGATAGCAGTAAAGCGCCACAAAGTTCGAGACGTGGCAAGGTTGTATCGCGTAAAGGCGCTACTCTTGATTTTGCACATATTAAATTGACTTCATAATTATTATTATTTGGGTTACGAGTTCTTAAATATAACACTGCCCCATAACCGTGCTGGGAAGCGTCACAAAAACCGTGGATTTCGATAAGGTCGGAAAATGCGACGGGTATAATTTTTCTCGGCACTTTAATTTGACGTATATGGTTCAAGCTGCTTAAAAAGGTAATCCAAGACGTATATATATCGGCAGGTACTGATTCATCCCAACCCAGTTTCAGCGTCCATAAACGTTGCAAAATTAATTTAGCATGCATTATGATGGGTCCGAGCAACCCTAACGGATCAAATATTTGGGCCGTTACCGAAAGTATGGCACGTTTGGTTACTTTATTAGGTATATTTTTCAGTATAATCTCGTAACTTAAATTATCGACGGTAGGGTTCCAACACAAACCTAAAATTTTTGTAAATTTATCCTTATGCAATTGTACGTTCGAATCATGGAAATTATCATTATTAGATACAACACTTAGTTCGTTTGACTGAAATTTTCGCAATTCAAATTGACCCTGTTTCAATATGGCCGTTACATCATTTTTTATTTCAGTTAAATCTTCGATCGAGTCAGCTCCGGTCAAAAGGTCGTCCATATAAAAATCTCGACGAATGATTTCGCTCGCGACAGGGTACCTAGCTTGGTTTTGATCAGCTAGCTCCTTCAAACACCGCGTAGCAATAAAACTTGCCGGTTTGGTACCATATGTTAATGTCAAAAGACGATACGTATTTAGTGGTTCGGATGGATGATTCCGCCAAAGAACTAATTGATAATTCGTATCGTTGGGATGTATCTTGATCTTACGATACATTTTCGCTATATCAGCGTTTAACACGTACTGAAATGTTCTAAAGCGTACTATTATTGAAAATAGGTCTTGTTGTAATACCGCCCCAGCTAGCAAATTATCGTTTAGACTTTGTTTATTTGAAGTTTTTGCCGACGCGTCAAAAACAACTCTTAATTTTGTTGTCGTACTAGACTCCTTTTGCACGGCGTGGTGAGGCAAATAAACGCAATTGTTGTCGTTGGGTGGTTGGCTTAAATATTCCATATGATTTAAATTTTGGTACTCTAACATGAAATCTACATAATTTGTTTTAACGTGTGGGTTTTTGATCAAATTCCTTTCAAGACTGAAAAAGCGTTTGAGAGCTGCATTTCGTGAATTACCAATATTTATTTTGTTATTTTTAATGGGCAACCGTACAATAAATCGCCCGTCATGGTCCCGTTGGACAGTTTCACGGAAGTGGGTTTCACAAAGAATTTCTTCTTCGTTAGACGCATTCTTATCGTAATCCGCCGTAATTACTGGTTTTTCCAATTCCCAAATCTTTCTTGCCTGTATTTCTAAACCGGGGTCGGGTCCGGATATGGAAATATTGCATGTTGTAAAATTTGTCGGTAAGTTTATGGTACCGAGAGGGCCTCCCACAATAAACCCTAAATGTGTTTTTTGAAATATTAACCCACTGCCCGGCGAGGACAATTGGCCTATGCAAAGTAAATTCCAAAAAAGGCCGGCTCCTATCAAAAGATCTATTGTACCCGATTCGAAAAACTTGGGATCTGCTAGTTTTATGGTTTTGGGAATTTCCAAAGATGAGGGGTTGATAGACACTAACGGAAGATTTTCGGTTATTTTGTTCACCACGATGCAATTTATTTTTGTTGAGTACGCATTATAAATAGATTTTATACCCACATCTAAAACTTGCTTTTGAGAAGAACTTGCCGCTCCATTTAAACCCTTAATTTGAATATTTATTTGTTTCGTGCTCAATTTTAGCTTTTTAATCATCGGTTCAGTTATGTAATTGGACATAGAACCTGGATCCAACAAAGCTCTACAAGTTTCATATTCATTTTTAGCATTTTTAATAAGAACTATAGCCGTTGATAGTAAAACGGAATCTGAGCATTTTAATAAACTAGAAGAATGATTACTTAAAGTTACTGAACTATTTTCATCGGCGTCAGCTTCGTCTGTATGTATTAACGTATTATGTTTTTTGTTACAAGCTTGACATTTATGACTGGTACGACATGTAGCAACCTGATGATTTTCTCGGAGACAATTGATGCATAATTTAAGACGTTTAACTTGCGCTATACGCTCGGGAATTGACATTTTCAAAAAATCTATACACTGAAAAATTACATGAGATGATTTTTTACACATTGAACAAGATGCTTGTTTTTTATTAGTGGTTATGTGAGAAACAGTCTTTGATTTGTTGAAATAATTATTTTGTTTATGATAAACCTTTCCTTCATTTGATGTTTTATTATTCGACATATAACTTAATGATTCCAACATTAAACAACGTTTTTCTAGAAAATCAATAAACTGTTTGTAAGTCGGTACATCTTTATCGAGGGAAAGTTGCCATTCACGTTTTGTACTATAATCCAATTTTTCTACAATGACAGGAATAAGTAATGCATCCCATTTGTCCACCGTTATTCCTAATGATTTTAGAGATGTTAAATTCGACACCACCGTATCGACAAGAGCCCGCAATAAGGATGGTGATTGCTTGTTTATACTAGGAGCATTTAAAATGGACATTACGTGATCTTGCACTATTAAACGAGTATTTTTGAACCGATTAGTTAGTAATCTCCATGCCTCTTTATAATTTTCATCGTTAATAACTAAAGATTCAATGGTACGCAAGGCTTCGTCGCGCAAGGAAGACTTTAAATACTGAAATCGCTGACGATTATTTAACGCCTTATTCTCATCTATCACCGATTTGAACGAATTTTCAAAATTTAGCCATTCTTTGTAATCGCCGCTAAATGATTTGATATTTAAAACGGGTAGATTCAACTGCATGCTGTCATTAGAATCTCGTGGATTTTTACCGTCCGTAGGGTTAAGCAATAAAGAAGTCGATGGAACCGGAACCGCGAGACTTTTTTCTATAATATCGTTTATAAGACACACAACATCGCAATAACGAATTTCAAATTCCGATCTGCAGCCTTCATAGGCTTCTGCGGCCCCCTTTTCAAGTTGCTCTATCTGGTATTGAGTTTCGTCAAAATCGTTTCTAATTCCGTCAAGAAGTGATAATCGTGCTTTTAATTGATTGATACTGACCCCAGGACTATATGACTGTACATATTCCTCTATTCGTTTCAATTTATCATCAATGGTTTTCAATTTGCTTTTTTGCTGATCTAATTTAGACATATTTTTGAATAATTAATGAACCTTAAAGCCAATCAAAAATGTATAGATACACAAATACGCGTTGAAGCTAGCCGTGCGAATATGATAAAAAGGGAAATCTTAGGACAAAAGAGCCACTAACCTTTCTCCTCTCAATGGTTTACACTCGTCCACGATAAGAGTGTAGCTTAACGTGTACTGACTCCCTCTTGTTGAAGCCCTAGTTCCGATGTTGAGATTTTTGCACGGGGTGGTGATTCCTCGTCGGAGATGCTGCCCACTGCTGCCGCGAAAATCGCTGAATGACGACTTCTTCCACGGGGTGGCGTTTCCTCGTCGGAGATGTTGCCCACTGCTGCCGTAGAAATCGCTGAATGAACCTCTTCCGCGGGGTGGTGTTTCCTTTGTCGGAAATGCTGCCCACTGCTGCCACGGAGATCGCTGAATGAACCTCTTCCACGGGGTGGTGTTTCCTTTGTCGGAAATGCTGCCCACTGCTGCCACGGAGATCGCTGAATGAACCTCTTCCACGGGGTGGTGTTTCCTTTTTTAGAAATGCTGCCCACTGCTTCCACGGAATTTGTTAGTTGAAAACTTCTTCCATGGGGTGGTGTTTCCTTTTTCAGAAATGCTGCCCACTGCTACCACGGAACGTCACTACCACGCGTCGCGTTTCAATTCCGAATAATACAGTCGCGGTATTAATATCCGGCTCGAAGGACCAATGTGGAAACTGTAGTGATTATTAATTGTGGAACGACGTGCACTTTTAACAACGATTTATTGATATTATGTACATGTCAATATGTATATTATATGATGAAAGTATTTATGTGTTTTTGCGACGCGTGCCCGTTGACGGGTTGTTGGTGACTCTATGTCCGCCACTCGTTCGTCCAGGAGGGCGGTGATGAATCAATTTGGGGGTGGTACCGAACACCCGACGAGAGCCGAGCAGCCGAGAACTTCGGGTGGTACCACACAGGTGTCTTGAATAATCGTTTCCTACCAGTCAGGATATTCTATGCTACCAGTAGCGGCTCATCCATGGGGTCAATTGGTCAATGAGACGCCCAAACAAATTCGTTGGATGTTTGAAAAAATGTAGAAAAATTGAAGGAGTCCAAGCAAGAATAGAAGAGTTAAATTTAATTATCGAAAAAGCTGCTTAGCAAGAAAAATAAGAGAAAATCTTTTTTGCTAACCTACATGCCTTTCTCACTTTTTTTTTCAAAATTTCCTAATAAAATTTCTGAATTGGATAACGTAGTGAAGATTACCAAAGAGGACACCAACCAGATGGAATTTCAACGTAAGATGTGTTGAAACTGTATATATGGAAGAGTTACTTGACTATATTAGTGACATCTGTTATTGTGAAACAAAAGCTGTAGTTATAATTAAAATACTGAATTAGTAAAATTGAAGAATACCGTCTTTGTTATTGTAAAAAAAAGTATAAACTTCTTGATTTCATGATGTTTTAATAATAATTTTAGTTCGTTGGGCTCAGAAGGATCTTGAAATGGCTGTCGGTCTGGTCAGTTCGCGTTTAATGAGTGCCAAAAGCTACTTTAAAAAGACACTTAAACAAAGAAAATAAAATAGCAAACAATATAAACAAGTGATGGGGAGAACTATTCCACCTTTACCAAAAATGAAGAAGAATTATTAGCAAATTACCTTGTTCAATTTGAAGATAAACTCTACGGTTAAAAAAAATAAAATTCCCCGCCATTTTAACCGTGAAAAAATGGATTAATAAAAAAAATATCCCAAACGTCGGCCAGAGTCAACATCGATTGCCTGGGCAAAAGATTTAAAACATGTCCAAATTAGGCAACTCTCCCCTAAAGGTTACTACTTTAGAATATGCTGTGAATGGTTTTAGAAAAGAAAAAAAAATCCTTAACTTCCAAAATGCGAATGAAACGTAAAGTTTTTATTGATGGGAGTACAAATCCCAAACTAGATATATACTTAGAGAAAAGAAAGAAACAGAAAACAAAAAAGAAATAGGATGAAAAGAAGAAACCAAAGTATTTCTTGCAGAAAGGGGACAGTCTTCATTTGGCGAAGACAAAGAAGATGCTGCTTGTCTTTTCTCGAATAGTCTTTATTATGAAGATGTTGTGGGTGAGTTAGGGACACGCTCAAACTGCATGAAATGCGTACATTAGAAATATACTAGAGACTGTGCTACTAAAAATTATATTTGGGATCTTTGCAAATAATTTTTGATTTCAAATATCAATTAAGTAGCTTACGCTCGGAAAGTAAAAAGTATACCCGGTAATAGGTGATGTTCCTCTATTGACAGAATATTAGACAATAAGATCGACCAAAATGCTCTCACGTAAAGCGTCGTGTAGTTTTGTAAATTTGTCAATTATCAATGTGAATTATCGCTTCAAAAAGGTAATCAACACAACGAATAGCATGTAGATCTTTTTTTTAACGGAATCTGTCACATTTATTATACAATAAATAAAAATAAAGTAACATTCTTCAATAAAAAATAAATTAAAAAAAATAATAATAAAAATTGAATTAAAAATCACTTGCACTACCGTCGTTCTTATATTCGCTGTCGCTACTTTCCTCTTCTTCGTCTTCGTCGTTTTCTCCTCCTTCCCTTCTTCATTTTCTGTTTATCCTCCTCCTCATCTTCACTTTTAATTTGTAATACAATTTTCTCTCCAACTTTTCAAAGTAAATTTAAATTGTGGTTGATAAAGACTAAATATTAGTTCGAATCGCGGTTAAACGATTACGTTTTCTTTCTTTATCTAGAAGTAGGTATGAGCTCCCGTTTCTTTTACAAGCGACTGCTAAAGCCAGAAAGCTAGGAATAATTCAAGTTACTTTTTACTCTCTTTGTTAATCCTTTCCATCAGATTAGTGGTTCCATGGTAGTTGCAGCCTGCCAAATATTTTTGTCACTCCAAGGGGTTTGTTTTACACAATAATCTCGTATATATTTTAGAACTTTTTTCTTATTTAATCCAGCTATTCTAGCGTACTTAATTGATTATAAATGTTTCTGCTTTCTGGTCTTCTTCTTCACTCAAGTTAAAAAATCTGTCTTTTACTTTCGGGTTAAATACATGTGCTGTCCATTGTACTTCGTGGAACATGAATTGCTTTCCACTGCTAAGATATTCTAACAATTGAAATACTCCATCTTCTGATAAAAAGTCGATTGCTTTTAAATGTCTATGCAAAATATGATAATGTTGAAATAGCATCACTTTCAATAAAGTTAATTATAGATGACGGCCCCTTTAACAAATTTAAAAATCCGTCAAATTCACTGGTTCTGGTGTAGTGAAAATAAAATTTATCAAAGATGTCCCACTGATATCAGCCCAGCCATTAGAAAATAGACATAAAGTTGTTGTACATGTCGGGCAACAATAGGATAGCTGCGGCAACAAGAAGTGCGAATTATGAGGTGACCAACTGGATCGCCAGAACTAAACCCTATCGAAAACCTTTGAGGCATTTTGGTTTGGAATGGTTATTTGATATTTGTCAATATAATAGAAAGAGAGACCGTATTGTGATCACCTAAACTTCCCGCCTTTAAATTGACACTAAAAAAAATGACAGCCCGGAAAAATTCAAAAATTCAAAATTTGGTCTTGGCTGTGGTCGTCTAAAAAAATGGAAACCTACGTTGTGTTTTTTTTTTTGAAAAGTGGCGGGAAGACGTTCCTTCATACAAGTGAGCATACACTGCGTGTGAGTCGAGAGCGCAAGAAATAATAGACAAAATTTTTGGGAGGGGGCTAAAAATCGCAACCCTGTCTAGGAGGAAAAGGAGCTGCGAGCGAGGGCAACACGTGGCTTGGCATCTCGCATTCACTCCTCAGCTCCAAAAGCTCCCTATGGTTTATTTACCCACATATAATACATCGCAAATGAAACACATAAAAATATGAAAGAAAAAGACAACCGCGAGTTGACAGACATACACATATGGGAAACCAAACAGGTACAAATCCTACGTTGATGTTTTGAATCAATGCAAATATTTGAATATCACAAATTTAATAAACAAAGCGAAATCTGATCTAAGGTAACTGAATGCAAATACACAAGTTATTACGGGCAAATGGCGTCAAATTTAGAGTTATGGCAGTTAACAAAAGCACAACAAAAATAACCATAAGGGTGTTCTAGCACAAGCAGAGTTTGGGGCTACAGGTCGGGACTGTTCTCCCCCCACGACGGTGATTCTATCTATCGCAAGCCTACTGCAAAGCATCTCTCTATTACGGACGTGCCATACGAGCAGTTGGGTCTCGACTAAGAACAGAAGTTGATAGCGTTACAACATCGCGACCGCCCCTGAATCTATCCAAACCTGTATCCTTTGTACTAGTAACACGATAAATCTCGCCAGCCCGACTAGGAACCGAGCAGTCCGCTTCTGCCATGTTTTTCTGTATTATTTTACCTCAATTCCATTTTTAAATGTTCAATTTCTTATAACTCTGATATTAATGACAACTGAACAAGTGTCAAATTTTAAAAAGAGCAATAAACAACATTTAAATTCACCATACAATCTTGTGAAATTTTAAACAACAAATAACTCTTATGTGAGATTAAGATTGGACATCAAATAATTTATACGATGGAAACATTCAATTACTGAGGTTAAAATTGTGAGATAGAAAAATATTGTATGAGGTGAAAAATTGCATAGCTAACAAAATTTACATGAGATTAATACTTGCCACACTTTATGAACGATTCAAACAAAGAGTTTACATTATGTCAAATTATGTTATGATCCAAGTGCTTGGTTACTTAAAAAACAATATTAATTACTTTGAGAGTTTATAATACTACGAACTGATTACCCCAACAAACAGATAATAAATAAACACAAAAATATCCAGTCATCGTTGCGAGGAAAAAGCGTCTCGGTGATGTAAATTTTAGCGTTGCGAGGAAATACTTCGATTATGTGAATTTTAACGTTGCGAGGAAAAAGCGTCTCGGTGATGTAATCAATCTTTGGCGTTGCGAGGACATGCCTCAGTGATGTAAAGATGATAACGATGATAACTGCCTAAGGGAAGAAATTATTTTAACCCCCCGCCAGTCCACGGTATGAATTAGTTAATTTAACTGCCGTAAATTAATTATTAGCAATCTTGTGTGAAGAATTAAGAAGTGTTATAATGTAACACTTACGTATATGCATCCATAGACTTATTTATAACTTGTAAACAAAGGTTGTTATCTTGACTAAGTGAATTTCATGAAATCGTATAGCAAGTGGTTTATTTAAATATTCCTGATTGTTAAATTGTGTTAGCACGAGTTAACGATTAAAAAAAACTAACCTGATCGGTGAATTCACAAACAACAAAACAAATCTACACCACGTGATCCGCGTTGGACGAAAGTCCGCACTTTTTTCCGATTAAAAGGCCGCAAGAATTAGGTGCACGTGTTGGGGGAAAACTTTGACGTTATCGGTGTTACGATTGATAATCGTTAACAAAAGCTTCCTCTCTTTTATTAACTACCAAACCAACTAATTTAACCTAGCTACTTACAGCGTCTTTTCACTATGCGTCCACTACACCGAACAAAAACATAATAATCTTCCCCATGCTTTTAACATGCCTCTCTCTTCTACCAATTCGACTACCGCCCTCTAACTAAACATGCAGAACTACCCCCAAGCGCTAACGTGCATATGGTTGCCGATGTTTAACGATTTTTTTTATTGAATTTTTTCTTTCAAATTAAAATTATTCAAATGTGATTTCGCGCCGCTGTTAATTAATTTCAGCGCGAAAATTTGATTCAAATTCGGTCACCACAGTATGATTAAATTCGTAATTAGTAAAGAACGAATTCTAGGGCAAATGGCTCTTAATTTTAGTTGTAGACAAATGCATGAAAATTGTAGATAAATTTGTATCTGTGAAAATCCTTTTATTTGAGCCCTATTTGTTTTTGGTTATTTGCCTATTTTTGATCCCGAGTACCTTTTTTGCAATTATTTCTGCCTATTTTATTTTTTTTGCATATAATTCAGATTTTAGAATAAAATACGCAGAGAAAGTAAATTTCTGCTTATTTTGTTCTAAAATCTGAATTTTCTAAACTCCAAAGCACATAAGGTACTTCTTTTGAAGGTAACATTTGATAATATTTCCTTTACTATAAAGAAAGACAATCTAACCCGAGTAAAGAGTCGAGGGAATTCCATTAGCAAAAGCCGCCAATTCAAGAGCCCAAATTTGTGTTGCTGCATAAACCATGAACAAACAAATTTTATTGCACAGATAAATAATTGAAACACCCTTTTAGAAGCCCCAATACAATTTGTCTCTTGCTTTTCTAGGAAGAGCTTTGATGTATTAAATACACCAAGCCCTCCTACAACTTTCTTTTCGAGTTCTCTTCCTGTATCAATGAATTCGTGTCGGGTTTTCGTAAAGTGAAATTTAAAACTGTGAAAGTGTTTTAGAAATTGTTTTTTTTTTATAAACAAATAAATAAAGTGAGTTGTAGATTTCATGCCACGTTCTTCAACATGAAAATACTGACATGCATGAAACAAATCGTACTAAAGATACAGGCAAACTTTAATTTCCTCATTTCATAGTGAAGACGATAAAAAAAATTTTTACTATGAATTATGCAGTGCAATTCTTGTGGCAAATATACCGTTGAAGAAACTAATTCCTGAGGAAACAATTTTAAGAAAGAATTATGTGTCTCAAGTTTACGATGACGTAAGTATTAATACGCATTTTAACAATATTTAGGAGGTTTCCTCGTGGAATTAGAGAAGCGAGCAACCCAAAATAAACAATATGCCGAACTGCACCATGCAATTAAGGCGAATATATTTCAAATAAACTTTTAGTAGAATATTATCGTTATCATTTTTTATCATTTTGTAGGTGGAACATTTTTTGTATGACAAAGGAGCAGGTCAGTATTTTGCAATATCTGATTTGGGGTTGCTGAGGAATAAAGAACGACCCCGCAACAAACTGGTTTGTATTTTCAGAAAGAAAAATAAACCTCTAATTCATCATATCAATTCTAGCTGCCACCATAGCGAACAAAGGAAAATCCCGACGAATTCGAGATTGATGATGAAGGACCAGAAGTAACTGAAGAAGAGTATCAAAAAAGTAGCTGCAACCAGAAAGAATAACATTTAAAGAATGAAATAACACATTGTTTACAGATTATCATCTGTATCGCCATATTTGCTGGAAAATTAAGGAAAGATGGGCATTGGGAGAAAGCATTATGCATTTGTGTTTACTAAATGCAACTTCTTTGCATGCTGACATAGCTAAAAGATTATTACGTTTTTACCCAAAACTCATCAATGACATTTACATGTCGGATGAATATTATGGTATTCAATTTTGATATTTTGTTTCATCGATCATCCGAGTTTCTTCAGGTGAAAATGTTTTACACATAGCTATAGTTTCCTTCCGTGGTGAAGTCTCTTTTGGATTCTGGTGTTAATATTCAGGAATTTTATGTGTCCAGATTCCAGAAGATCAAAAGTTATCTCGTTTGGATTCACGTGATCACGAATGGGTCAATGTTTGTGCCGAGACAAACTGTAACGGGTTTTTTACTTGCATTGGTTTTTGAAAACATCGCTGTACGATCTACTTTTTAGATATGTTTATTGGTAGGAATATCCTTTAACATTTGCTGCATACTTAGGACAAGAAAAAGTTTTCGATTGATGTTAGGAGCAGATCCTGATGCTCAGGATACTAACGGCAATACTGTTTTACACTTATTAGCAGTGTTGGGCAGTATCTAGATACTTGTATCTAAAAAAAGTATCTAGATACATTTTTGGGTATCTAGTATCTGTATCTAGATACAATCGAATTTAAGCACAAAATATCTGTATCTAGATACAAAATTAATGGCGCAGATACAGATACATTTTTTTATATCACTTTTTTTTCAGTAGTTATTAGTTGAATTATACTAGTAGCAATTTTTGATACTTCATATTGGTGATTTTGGTCACATAAACAAAAATAGAGGTTAGAGGTCCACTAATAGTGTTTTGTCACGGAAATTTGCATATTTTAAATACTATAATTTCCTACATTGTAGCCTTCAGTACTTATATATCTTTAAATATAATCCTAAGGGGTAATAAATCTAAGCCATGGTAAGATGGTATTTTAAAAACCATAAACCACAATTCACTATTCACTGCGTTTTACGCTTATCCGGGGCAATGCATTTTATCTGTGTACCTGAGCAACCCGGGTCCGGTAGGCCCGCTGGTTGTATTTGTGTTATTAAATAAGAGTAATTTTAATAGTAAAAATATTTGTTTAAGGTATGTTATTATTTTGAGAAAATAATAATTGCGTGTTACATAATGATTAATTTTTTCAATTAGCACAAATTAGTTCTGTAATCGACTAATCGAATGTTCCATATATACATTTCTCTCGCATAAATCGCATATTTGTTACTGTTTTATATCTTTATTTTTCAGACAAATTAGCATCTTTTCCTGTTGCCACATGTGTCATTTCTTCACTTTTTCATTGTTGGACCTAACGCGAGGCGGGCTTGGCAGGTCCGTTTTGCCCTAGAATGTGCCGATTATGTTTAAGTGTAAATCTTGGGCAACAAGATTAATATTTTTACAACTCTCGGTAGAATAATTTATCGTGATATATTCTCAGAAATCGTGAAACGAGATTAAAATAAAATGAGTTTTAACAAAAATCTGAAAATTTAAAGTTGCACTCTGGTGATTCCGGCCTGCCAGGCAGCCTTTGATCCTATAGGGGGTTTAAATACATTTCTAAGAAATTGGACTTATTTTGCCTTATTAAACGGAACCAACAATTCTTCCTAAAATGTATATACCTGCCTCACCGGGATAGACGATTACCGGACATGGTCATAAAAACATCGTAATCCGATATTGACGAATAATAATTTATGACAGGTTGCCGACAACAGACCTTCAGCACAGAATAATCATTCCCCGTATTCTTTTGAAATATTAATTTTAATGCTGGAGATAATTTTTAGATATACTCAAACACAATTTGGACACTGTAGTATGGTAATAAAACCAAAAAAAAATTCTTTTTAAGCGTACGTAATAAATATTGCACAATTTGCGACACATCAAAGAGCGAAGCGATGGCCTATTTGCAGGAAAAAAGAAAAGATTTTTCAGTCTTAAATAACCATGCTACAGTAAAAGGTTTATTTTTTAAATTTAATACCACAATCCCTTCTTCTGCACCTATGGAACGAGTGTTTAGTAGCGGAAACCAAATTCTGACACCAAGAATAAATAATTTAATGACAATACGTTCGAAATGTTGTTAATTTTAAAAAAATCATTAAACAATACATAAAAAAATACATAAACATGTTTTCAGTTACTTTATTCGCCAAAGCTTCAAAAAGTATCTTGTATCTGTATCTAGATACATTTCGAAAAAATCGAAAACCATCTGTATCTAGATACTTTTATCTTCCATATATCTATATCTGTATCTAGATACTTTTAAAAGTATCTGTCCCCAACACTGGTGAAATGGCAGTTAAAAAGCTGTAAGGTACTTTATAGTGGACCAAGAGCTATAAGGTTATATGGCCATCATAAAATCATCCCATTGTGTCGAAGTTAAGTTGTTTAGAATAGAAAAGGTTTTAGGGTCGTAAATAACGTGTCCACTGCAGCTTGACCGGCTGTTGTGGTTTCGTTCAGGGGCGGCTTTCACTAAATATGAAAATCCACCACTCCACTATTTCTTTACTACCTGTTAAATGTGAGCAAGAAATGTTTAGAAGACGATTTATTGCCAACCGGTAAGCTTAGTGCTAACCACACAAAGGGGGTATTTAATTGCGGTCAACTACTTTTATGATGGTCATATAACCTTATACCTCTTGGACGAGTATAGCTCTTGGTTCACTATACAGAAGCATACCGGGTAGCAAGATCTTAAACATTTTCTCTCGAAAATTTAGAAAAATATCTGATTTATTTTATTATTATTTATTAAATTTTAATGATTAAAATCCCTCGCAAAGAAAACCAGACGTTGGCATTGAGTAAAATTAATTTTTTCTAAAACTGGCCTAAAATGCCTATTTTTACATTCTTCGGGACTAAATCCTCCGTTTCTATCGCCTATTTTAAGGCTATTTTGCAGATAGACGATACCAAACCAAATCCTTTAATGTAAATTCCACTATCGGTTACTTCGGCTTAACAAAAAACTTGATAAGAATCAATCAAAAAAATTCTCAACTCTCCATCGAAGCAAAGAACACAGTGGTAGTTAGACCGTGCTGCTGTATACATGACCGAGTTACTTCGACGATGTCCTCAAACGAAGAATTTATAAGAAAAAATAAAGTGGTAATAATTGACGACGACAAAAACACAAAGCTTCATTATGCTGCCGCTTTGGGTAATTTGGAGGAAATTGATAAAATAATTGCAAGTAAGCAAAAACTGGACCCAGAAAATTATCTAGGATGGACACCGCTGATGATGGCTATTCGAAATGCAAACGCTTTAGCTGTGGACACATTATTAATCAAGGGAGCTGATGCCACTAAGAAAAATAAATTTGGTGAGTTCGTTTCTCGTTTTGTCTTGTAGTCATCAATGGTCCCAAATTTTAGGTATCAACGCATTTTTAATCAGTGTGACATGTGGCGATATCGTAGTTGTGGAAAAACTTTTAAACCATTTGCTCACTGGGGGCGTTTCAAGGCAGTCTTTGCAGAGGTTGTTTTCGCCAGTGTCTTTAGCGATTTTGTATGGGCACAACCATATTTTTAAATATTTACTGGAGCGATCTTTTGATCCGAATGCAGCGGCACCATTGACAGGTTTGTGTTATAAACTTCGTTTATTTTTGTATGCTGACATTATTTCTTTAATTGGGGTTTAGTAGGTTAGTTTAGTACTAAATAACCTAGAGGATTTTAATGTTAACTCATAACTGAGACCAGTTTTAGTTTTCACAGATAATTACGGTTCCTAGACATACCTACATTTAAAAATATACTCTCATGAACGTTATTTATTGTATTATTATTAATAAAGTGAAAAATTTATGCCAACATACGCAATTCTGTTTTTAAATTCATCAGAAATTAAACTCGTTCTTTTATCTCTTAACCGTTGAACCTATTTTGGATTAATAAGATACTTTAAAACTGTTAAATATATTTTACACGTTCATCAGTCGCTAAAAGTATAAAAGTAAAACCTCCACATAAATATCGCTCACTCATGGAATTCTAAAGTGCAATATTTTTGTTTTATACTTACTTACTTATTAAACTGAGGTCGATTAATAAATCATAGATATCATCATCATTTTAAATAGGGTTAACGTAGAAAAATTTTGACTTGACAGTATTAAATTTCAGGGCGACGATTTTGCAGTTGTAATTAAAATTGATTCTTCATTAAAAAGAGAGAAAAAATATTGTTAGACAGGTGTGTTTTTTGATTAATAATTATTTAAATTTTTATAGTTTTAAAGTAGCCACAATTGTTTATTTTTCCCGTTTTTTCTGTTTCAGGTATCACACCATTAATGTTCGCTGCAGCTTTGGGAAAAGAAAAGTTAATCACCAAACTGCTGAATTTTAAGGCCAACATTCATAAAAAAAATCACTTAGGAAAGACTGCTGTCGATATTGCACATACACGACATAACAGCGTCGAGACCAACTTTGACAAAACCAAAGCAAGACCACAACCTTTGATTATTATAACTTCTCACAATCAGAACAGTCCCCATTTACAACTAACTCCATATCCGGAGGCTATGGGTAGGAAATCGTCCAATACGCGAACTCCAAGCATGGTCTGCACACCAAGGATCACGCCGATTACTCCACAGTTTATGCCACAAATGTTTTTCGGCTCGAATTTTACTCCATCGCAATTTATTAGTCCTGGTCCTCCTATGGCTTACCACTCTTTTTTAAATGCGGCCGTCACACCTTCGAATTTTGTCTCGCCGTTGCCATCGCCGCAAATATGCTATCCTAATTATGTTTAATTCTTGTATAATTTTTGCGTTTCCAGTTATGGTATTGTTTTGTTTCGATTTTAAAAAAATCTGTTTTTATAATTTGATTTAATCAATTGCCTGTTGACTTACATAATAATAAATTATTTTACATGACTGCAAGGTTTATTTTTAGTACCTGGTGCATTTTCAGTGGTTAACTACTTTTAATTACAATTTTATAGTTTTTTAGAAGCTAATATGTTGTGATATTTCATTATCTTCAGAAGTTATTTATGTAATTTCGGAGGCTTGCACGGTCGGAATCAATACATGATCGTTTTCCAGGTTGGAACCGTGTAAATTGGGTTTTTGGGCTCAACGTTTCGCACACTTGCGTAATTGGCATCTTCAGGAGCAGGGTTAAGAATAAGGCAAAAGAACGCGGTAATTCAGTGTATCAACTATACCAGAGGCGAAACTCTTTTCTTAACCCTGCTCCTGAAGATACCACTTACGAAAGTGTGCGAAAAGTTGAGTCCAAAAACTCAGTTTACACGGTTCCAACCCGGAAAACGATCTTGTAGTTATTTATGTGTTCGTAAATGCTTTGGGGGAGTTGAAGACGGTATAATAACTGGGTGAACATATTTTAAAAAGTCACAGTAAAATCTCGTACCAGGGATCTACACAAGCATAAACATTTGCAAGAGAAATAGATAGGTATATTTAGATGAGCATGTGAGTAAAAAAAGAACAAAGTATAACGAACTAAAGACACGTTTTATAAATAAGAATTTTGTTTTTCAACTACTCGTAATTATTATTATACGTAATTAATAGACAACAACTACAACTTACATTTCATTAGACTATGCACATTTTGGTAGTAAAAATTTACTGGACTAGGGGTTCTGTTGGACTTAATTAGTTTAACAGATATATATGTAGACGGAATGCTATTTTTGTATCGAATTTTTAAGTTTATTTCAACTTTTAATTTGTGTTCCAGTAGTTCTTTACTTGTTTGTTTATGAATTTCAAACTGTGAATTATAGACAAAGATGTAAATTTTATAAACTTTTCAGATAGTTCATTGAGAAACTTCTTGTAAAATTTTTTTCGCTATTAGGTACATAAACAGTAAGGAAGAAAATACATCGTAAATATATATCCTGATTTCCAAAAAAATCCGAACACCTTGAATTAGTTGACTGATAAAACTTAAACTTTCACCAAATGTGCATTAAATCGAACCAAATAAATGGTTAAAATAACAGGCCTAAAACTTGTGAAATAAAAAATTTATTCAATAATGTGTGGGTCCACCGTGATTTCGAATGCAGTCATTTACTCGCGAGGCATGCTTGAAAGAAGATGGTTTATGGTGTCCTGTGGGATCTCGTCCCAAGCTTCCTGAAGGCGCATACGAAGGTCATTTAAATTATTCGAGGGATGCTGCAAGTGACCTAGACGTGTGCCGATGATATCCCACACATGTTCGATTGGTGACAAATTTGTTGAGCAAGCAGGTCAGGGGAGAACTTCAACATTATGTTGTTGAAGGTACTCCGTTGTGACTCTTGCCGTTGCTTTGCTGAAATAGGGGTCGATCTAACCCTCTGAGGTAAGGAACTGCAATCGGCTCCAGTACTGTATCGATGTGTCCTCTTGCATTCAAATTTCCCTGAATAAAAACTGGAGGGGACCTGCCTGCTACCCTGTGTTATTGCCCCCCAAACCATCACGCCTTGTGTGAGAGCTGTATGGCGTTCTCCACGTAATCGCCTCACCCTCCTACGTCCATCGTGAGCCCAACGACAAAACCGGGATTCGTCTGAGAACACTACCCGATTCCATTCGTGGTCCCAATTTGCTCGCTCATTGTACCATTGCAACCTACGAGCACGATGTCTTGGTGTCAATGGGAAGCAAAGAAATGGTCGATATGAACGCAACCCAAACGACCTTATTCGGCGATAAATTGATGACATTGAGATCCTATGCTCCAACGCACCCATCCAATCAGTTGCAATTGCACAAGGGATAGAACGTCTGTCTCGTAGGGCAGCAATTCGAAGATGCCGATCTTCGCGTGCTGACGATCTTTGAAGACGACCAGATCCAAGAATTCGCTCATGCACTCCTTCCTTAGACCACCTCCTCCAACACTGCAACGCCGTTGAAACACTTCTTCAAACTCAGTCAGTTGATGAAAATGAACAGGCTCACAACGTCCTGGCATTTTTCACTTTGTTTTCCACACGATAGCTCTAAAATTTTCTAACTAACGCAAATCAACTAGCAAAGCAAAATTCTGCTAGACTAAACTTTGTTTTCAAAAGGTAAAAAGATAACGTTAATGGTTTTTGTTGCAATTTGAACTATTTATTCCATGACTCGGATCAGACAATCTGAACAAAATGGCTCAAGTCCTTCGCGGTGTTCGGATTTTGATGGAAATAAGTATACTATTAACAGAAGTAAAGTTGATTTCATTTTTAATTGAACTAAACTCGAAAGACACGTTATATATATTAGGGTGAGAATCTTTAAACGTGTTTCGTTTTCTCACAACAATGAGTAACTGAATTATTATATTTTACATTTACTCAGTTTTTTAGATTCTCATTTTCTTGTGCATTTTTCAGTAATTCAACACTCGCATAGAATTTCTAATTCCGCACATTTTCGACATTAGAATTGTGGAATTGAAGATGATTTTTCTCTTTTTGATTGTTTGATGTCTATCAATATTTTTTAGGAGTCGGACATGGAAAATTATGAAACACTTGAAACAACAACAAAAAGCTTAATTAAGCTGTATCGTAATAGTTTATGATAGAACCGGGAAGACCTAGTGGTCATCCCGGTTCTTAGAAATGTTTAAAAATTATCGTTAATAAGTTTTACAAGTTGATTGCGTATATATGGACTTCTCTATGGCTTTTGATCGCATCAATCATAAGATCTTAAAATAAGACCACCAGCTGGAGTGCTTCAAGGATTCAGTTTCGGTCCTTTGCTCTTTCTCCATTTCATTAATGACATTGTTGATATTGTTACGACGCCTATAGATTTTCTAGTATGTGCGGCGATGATATCGGTGACAGCGGCCGAACGTCGTTCGCTAAAGAAAAGCCCGGAAGCGGAAGTCGCGATGGGTGCTCCAGAATAAGTCTAGAAGCGGTGATGGCGACTGTTCAAGAAGGACGCGTCGTTCGTTAAATGGGAACCACCGTCGGAAGCAGTCAGTGAAGTCCAGACAATGAGAGAAGTAGAGTCTAGTTAAATCCATTCCAATCGAATCGGAATTATTCTGTACATAATCGCTGTATAGTTAGTCGTGTAAATTCGAGTTGCTAAGAAATAAATTGTTGAGTTTTACCCACGCCGATTTTTAGTCACCGATCAAGATGGTCTCTTTCGAAGACGGAAGAATGAAGGTAGATTCATGAAAATCCAGCAGCACCATCGATACTGGCGCTGAGGTATCAATTGTACGTAAAGGACTCGTGAAAGCTGAAGTTTTAGGACCTATACCCAAAACGATCAGATTGAAAAGTGTAACTGAAGAATCGACGCCGATCATGGGCGAAGCATGGGTGGAAATTGGTATTGGTCAGTTGAGAATAAGACATCGGGACCTCGTGGCTAGCATGGAAGATGACTTCATCTTGGGAATGGGTTTGATTAGCCACCATGGATTGACAATTCATCGAATGACGGAAATCCTACGTCTTGGAAATGAAGAGTTCAAGCTGAATCAGCGCTGTATTGAAGAGAAACCTGTAAAATTGATCACCTGTCAGAACTGCAAACACTGCCACGAGGTTGCTCAGAGCAAAACACGGGTCAACCGCAGGAAGAAACTAGTTGTACAAGACGATGAATGGACTACAGCTTGGTTTAGAAAAGACCAGGAGGAAAACATGGATATTGGGCCGCTCCTCAGATGGAAAGAAGATGGGATAGCACGGCTTGACTGGTGGGAAATATCAGATGAGTCACCTTCTCTCAAGCCGTTATGGGCTCAGTGGGGCTCCTTGTGTGTTGAGAACGGATTTCTTAAGCGAGCCTGGTAAAGTCCGAATGGAAGGAATATCACTATGCAGTTGGTGGTTCCGGATATTAAAACCAACAAATGCACAACGGCGGTTCAAGTGGAATAAACAAGACGCTTTCCAAAGTTAGGGAGAGATTCTATTGGGTCCGTTACCGGGAAGACGTCGAGAGCTGGTTCTGTGGGGCGGTTAAAAGACCTAAGATTAAGGCGAGGGGACCGATGCAACCTTAGAACGTCGATTCGCCTTTTGGAAGAACGGCAGGAGATACAGCAGGTCCCTTCCCAGTGACCGAAGAAGGGAACAATTACAGGAAGAATGTCAAAGGCTACCACGATGGCTTACAGGAGAAGCTGCCGAGCGTTCACGAAATGCTGCACCACAAGAATAGAGTGGCGAGTGGTGGAATGGAGACACGTTACGGTCTTAAGGACAACTCGGTAGGGTTCCAGGCAAAATATTTGGTATGGCTTTATAATATACTGTAGTGACGAGGATCAATGATGTCGTTTAGAGGATTTGATAAGGGCCGAAGACGAAAATGAAGATTGTTCACTTCGGTTGCCTCATTACGTACGACAGTGACACCACCGATCTTTCTGATCGGGACAATCAGAACCAAGAAGGGGGCAGTGTTACGAAATAAACCCATACGCCGCCCCGGTACGACGCCTATGGGTTTTCTAGTATATGCGTATATGAGAACCACCGTCGGGAGCAGTCAGTGAAGTCCAGACAATGGAAGACCGAGAGTCTAGTGAAATCCATTCCAGTTGGAATTATTCTGTACATAATCACTGTGTAAATTTGAGTTACTAAGAAATAAATTGTTGATTTTACCCACGCCCATTTTCAAATACTCGTTCAACGTAACAGTATCATGGTTTCCTAACAAATTCAGTGCTAAACTCGCTTTAGATTTTAAATATCGAAAAATCCGTTATATTACAGGCATTTCTAAGATTCTTTCTTTAAACTGATTCAGTTTCCCGATTATAATTTGCATGTACAAAACTTAAGACCTATAACTTGTATTTCTACTTCTGCTAAACCTCCAAATTTTTCTTCAGACAGCATTTTTTGTAACTGTACGCAGAATTTTAGAACAATCTCTGAGCCAATAACAGTAATAACTATGATTTTATTCTTCTCATAGAATCTTGGCTTACTAGCGATATTCTTTGTAGTAAACTCCTTCCCACGAATTATACTGTTTTTCGTAAAGACTACTCTATGGAGTACAATGATTTGTCTAGAAGTAGTGAAGTTATTTTTGCTGCTCAAAAATTGTTATTGTTCTGAGGTCAATTTTGCTTGAATAACCAACCCTGTTCCGAAGAATGGTTATGGATAATTGTCAAACTTTATTTATTTTTGCTTTGTATAGTCCACTCCATACTTCAGTTCAGCAATTCGAATTGTTTCTTGAATCATTTAATTCCCTTTAAATAAATAATTTTAAAGTTCTTATTGTTGCTTTTTGTTTATTGCTTCTAAACCTATGGAGTACGGGTAAAGTTTTTTTAATTTTAAATTAAATCCAAGGATTTTTTTACAACGAGTATTGATGGAATTGAATTCTGTCCTTCCTGTTTAAAGATAACGCGCATTTTCTTGCGAGGTGATAAGATAATTGAGAAATCCGTCTCTCCTTCACTTTGGAAGAAGGTTACATTTGTCCTATTTTTAAGAAAGGACAGCAAAATCACAGGACTAATTAGTAATTATAGACAGGTATTTCGATACTTTCCGATTTTACCAAGACTTTCGAGTCAATTTTGTATTCTCAGCTTTACTCCTCACTGTAGTGATTAGTGGTAATGGACAATCATTGTTGATTCCTGCAAAAGCTCAGCGACTATTGAAACTTTTAATCTCATATTTTATCGGTAAAATTTCATTTGTCAAGTACAGAAGCTTTAGTCCTAAACAATTCATTTCATTTTCTGGGACCCCACAGGGGTCGAACTTAGTCCCCTTGTTGTTTTTGTTTTTGTATCAACACTCTTCCTACCGCTATTCCCGCAATAAACTTACAAATTATACATGGAAATAAACTATTTGAAGGTTTGCTTAATTTTGCTTCATTTTAGTTTGTTCGAAATTGATCGAATTAATCTGAAATTCGAAACCCCGAAATTCTGATGAGTTGCTGATGATTCAGTGCAAACCAGATAAATTTTCGTTACGCCACACTATATCAAGAATTTACATGCTGCTAAATTATGCTTTAATTGAAGTTGAATTAAAATCAAACTGAGTATCAAGATTATATCATGGACCTAGATAACTCTCACACCATATGAAACAAAGCACATATATATGTACAATAAACACAACAGGGCACATATTAAATACGTTCGAAATCAAAACAATAATTCGAGATAAACTTAAAATACACCTTCAGTTTCAGACTCCTTCTTTCAAAATCGATCAACGTTTAAGCTCAGTTTAAATGCCGCAATAAATCTGGGTAACACTCTGGGTAACACTTTTGTATTATGTACATATATTTCACGAGTACAAATTAAAAAAATCTAACCCAGTAAATCCAGTCAGATCAAAAACAACAGTTACCTACTGTTTGGAGTTATATGTGCTAATATCAGTCACAGGTCTTTCCGAAATGAATATTTAAAATCAAATATAAATGTTAACGTCGAATAACACCAATGTATTAACTTTTAGTAACTCAGTTGTAGATAGTAAATACGTCATAATTGTAGGGAAGATTACTTAAATGTAACAAACAAAATAAAAGTATAAAAAAGTTTATTGATACGTATGTTTGGCAAACCAATAAGTGAGCCCTACCATCATAAACGCCACAGAAATGCCTAGATGGTAAAAACCGTACCACATTAACAAATCCTGATAGTCTCTAACCTCAATACCAACTCTGTCATTAAACAAGCACACCATTCCAGAACTCAGTCCCCACCCCAACAGTGCTATCACACCAAAAACTAACCCGAAGCAACCTTTTTTCAAAAATTTAGCAATTTCAGCACTTAATACTGTCATTATAAAATGATACATGAATCCTAAAATTACGTAAAACATACAGTTTAACGCTAGATAGTTGGTAATTTGAGACATAAAAATCAGCATAAACGCTTCCACTAGAGACGTCATCGACAAAATTAAATCTCCTTTGAATTTCCAGTCAAAGTTGGCAAATCCTCCAAGGATGGTTCCGGTGAGGGCAAATATTGTGTAAACTCCTTCCAAAACACCATTGTAGACAAACGTTCCATTGCTTTTTTGTATGTATTGCCACAGGGGTTGGACGTAAATTGAGAACTGGTTGTATCCACAAATCGTAAAGATACTCCAAACTGACCATTTTATCACGTATTTATTGGGAAATGCCTGAGCGAGATTCGAGAAAATGGAAGTGATTTTGGTTTGATTTTCTTCTACTTTTTCAGAGTTTTCTGCGTTTTGATTTCCAATGGGCGGCAAGAAGATATTTAAAATCGTCGCAATAATGAAACCTGGAAAGTAGAAACACAAATAAGAAGCATTTGAGAGTTAACAGTAAGAAAATATTCTCAGTATTTTTAATGTCTGTATTTTCACGTAGGTATACAGTTGTACCCCTTGTAACAAACAAATGATGTGTCACTCTTGTTTATCAAAGTTAATTTCAACACTAGATGATTTATAGTTATATTGCATCTTTGAGAACCACAAAATAGAATTTACAACATCTTGACAGTTGTTATCAGTTTTTAATAATAGGTATGGAGTATTCGGTGAAAAATTTGTTTAATTTTGGATAATGTAATAGAATATCTAAACCTAACCTAAAATTAGAGTGATTCTAAGTATTCTGAATATTTTACCTCTAAAATTTTAAACAATATAGCTACACAAAGTTTCAAAATTTAAATAAATTGGCCAAAACTCAACAATAAAATAAAATATATCCATTATTGGATAAGTAGAGGAGGAAGACCCTTGTTTATGGTTATGAAAATGTTACTGATTATTTGACGTTTTCCTTTTTATGTAACAGTAGCAATCGAGAAGTACAGCAGTTAATAATTTACATTTAATTTTATAAAATTACTATAAACAAATTGTGTGGATTTGATAATATTTTATTACATATCAACAACTTTTGTTTTAGACTTCCAACAACAATTGTATGCTTAGAGATAACGAGTTGTATGTAAATATTATAACATATTAAGTGCATTAAATTAAACATATTAACATTGTCACAATGACTTAGCTAATAAGATAATCCTCTTAAATAAATAAATAGTACACTTTTCATTCTTCAATGCAACAATAAATTAATGTTTTACATTGTGCAGTCTCAGTTCTTTGTTCCTCTAGAGGTTATTTTTGTATTGTTAGTATTGTTTTAATGTATACTGTCATAAATAAATTGCAGTTACCAAACACATTTTACTTTCATATTTAACTCTTAGGTACATATAAATGTTCAGATGAAAAATAGTTGACTTACTTGACAAATTGAAGTAGTGAAGTTTTTCATAGCTTAAGTAAGCTACTGAAACAAGCAGCTGGCCAAAAAATGTCGAAAAAAGTCTGGCCACCAGCGGGGCTGCTCGTACACATGCTGTCAATTTTTGATAAGTTTTTATGTCACCATGGGCGTAAACAGATACGTAATAAGCCACCTCTGCAGCTGTCATGCATCCATAAAAAGCCTGAAAATTAAATTTTTTGTTGATAGAAACTAGAAAACAAAGAGAAGTGAGGGTTTTAAAGAACACTAAAGTTTAAGTTTTATATAGAGTTTGCAGTTTTTTTATAGAAAAAAATTGACATAGTCTAACAGCATAAGGTTTACTAAGAAAGTCAGAACTTGATGCATTTTGTACCAAGTTACCTTGGGTGTTCGGACTTGCGTGGTAATAGTAAATATACAAAATAATGAAATGATCCGTCGACATCGCAGCATTACGAGGGCAGAATATTGTACACAAGTAAAACTGGAAGTATAGCTATGCGAGACCAAAGTAATAGATAGTTTTGATGGTTGAGTTGATTGAAGCTAACTACTGAATTAGGGCTTTTGGCATTTATGATAAACTTGTTGTGGAAGAGACATCTTGTGCAATAATAGGGCTATTTTAAAGATGGAATTTTCGATTCGCCGTAAAACACTTATCTTCTCTGAATTCGTACAACATTGTATATTAATTACCATTCAAGTGATCTGATTGCCCATGAGGGTGGACAGTAGATGCTTCTATTTTCATAGAAGAAGGGAGATGTGCAAAGAAATAAATAGTGTTGAAAGCTGGACCATTTAAAGGTGAAATCGGAAATCATTTTGTTTACTGTTACAGTAATTGAGGGAATTTTGGTTATTCTGTATCAACAAATTTAGTGGATTTTCATGACCAACCCTACGTCGAAAACATCATGAACGCATAATACATCAGAGGATGTGCTCAAGAAGCTTATTTCAACTTTGGAACTAGTGATCTAAATAAAAACAACTATCTATAATAAACCTATAAATAGAAGAATCTATCATTTATATTAAGATTGGATAGTCTTGATTTATGTAAGAAAAGCTATTGTGAGTACAGAATACAGAACCTTCCAGTTGTTCATTCTTTTAAGTTTACATTGTCAATCTTTGCGTTGGTATACAAGATTGACTCAAATCATTAACAAATATGTAACTACTTTTAACTTTAAAAAAAATACATACCTGGGCAACTTGTAGTTCAACCAAACTCTCTGTCCAAATATAGAGGCATGTAGACACAATACCAGTAAGCGTAGAAATAATAATAAATGGATTATATTTAAGAAATTCCATCAAAAAGAACACCGGCAATAGAAGTACCGCAGTGCTGTAAAAAAATACGGGCAAAATATCCTGAGCAACTTCATCTTCAGTAAAATTTTTGTCGGTTCTAAGGAATTCGTAGAAAAATGGGAGTGGTGGCCTGAAGTTCACAATAAATCCGAAAATGTACAAAACGTAGAGACGCCTAAACCACTTGAACTGAATAATTTTTTTCCACTTTATTTTCATTTTATTCACTTTTAATTAAGTACTCAAGAAACATCACATCTCACTATCACATATGATATTATCACTTTTTGTGAACACGTACCTACATTGCAGTTTTTGACTGAGGCTGTCTAATCTTCGGAATTTGGAGTAATATCTTATCTTGGCTTATCTTCCCCCTATCTACGGCAAATTAATATCAGCGGACTACGATTAATTTATATTATTTTGAAGCATAACGCACTTCGCATGTTGCTTGTTGCTTGCAACACGACGTTAGTTTTTCGTGTTTACTTGTCCGAAATTTGTAATTACAACTCGTTCATTATTTTAATACATACATTCATGTCAGAAGAGATTTCATTTTCTAAGATGTATTGTAAAAATAGCATTGTCACCACACAAAGTACACAGGTACAAAGAATATTAAAAACAAACTTTTCGAATTTCACACAGTTTTATAGATATAGAACTCGGTGTAATATGGTTTTCGTTATCGCAGTTTACTTTTAACTAATGTAAGCAGGCGTAATTGTAGGTACGAACTTTTATCGTCGGTAATTGGCACTATGGTAATATTCGTATCGTGTGCATTGTGAACTCAATATTAAAAGTATTTCAGTTTACATGTAAGTGGAATAATTTACATTATGAAATATGTATTTGCAAGTATTTCGTTGAGACTAAAGCTGTATGTGAGAATGTTGAACTAAAATTTTAGTGTAGAGTCTGGAGCATCAGATTCTGCAGATCATCTCAGAGATTGCGCAACATGTTAGTATTTCAGACGTTGATAAAAGGCTACCACTAGTTTAGGAATCACACAACATTAGTTGAATGCAAGACGACAAGACTAATATTTATTTATCATTGTCTACTATGTGTACTTTGTATAAATAAATTTAAATATTGTTCAACTATTTGTCAGTATGTTGAGTATACCTCGCTACAAAATCTTTTGTCAAATTTAAAACTTTCATTTTTAAAAATGGTCGAACTGTGGACTTTAAAAATGACCTTTTATATATGTTCCATTATAAAGAAAGACTTTGCTCTGTAGGCTTTATGTATATTATACATTTGAAAAGATTTGCGACTTGTCAGTGACTTCGTGTCACTGTTAAACAATCATTTTTGCATTCTATAATACACACCTCACAAAAATTAACGCAACATTTCAAATTTGTTAATAACAACTGAAAAAATTTAAAAAAAATTCTAAAAAACATGCCTTATATTAGTTAGAACGAATTTTGTTTCATCTACGCAAAAAAAAGTTCCTTATCATTTGTAACTGGTGGATCTATTAAAAGAAAGAAAATATCTTATCATGGTACCCTTATATCCAATTCTAAATCACATGTTTGTGAAATGTTTGAAATGAAAACGTCATTTTCGCTTATAATGAATGTTCCTAATCGCATCACGCGTAATTCATCGAAGAAGCGGTCATTCGGGCTGTAGCTTTGATTGAAGATTGTTAGACCCAACGCTATGTGGCCAATCTGCTGGGCGTTGATCGTTCGACCATTTCTAAACTAATGCAAAAGTACCATACTACTGGAAGCATGAATAGAAGACTAGGACAAGGTCGTAAACGGAAAACATCACAACGAGACGACCGATTTTTGCGCTTAACAGTACTCAGGTCGCGACACTGCACAGCAAAAATGCTCCAAAAAGAGATGTGGTGCTGAGTACTCAAATGGTACGAAATCGTTTGCGAGAAATTAGTATGCGTCCAAAAGTACCTGTAAAAGCACCCTTGCTCACCAGGGCACACAAGTTAACGCGTTTAAAATTTGCGCTAAATCATCAGCATTGGAATGTCGAGGATTGGAGCAATATACTGTTTGCAGACGAATTTCGTTTTTGCCTGTATTCCTCAGATCGCCGTATGCCGATGTACAGACGACCTGAGGTAAGCGATATTTGCCTATCAATATTCTTCCACAAGTGAATTTTGGAGGAAGCTCTATAATGTTTTGGGGTGGCATTTCCTACACCGGTCATACTGAATTGGTGGCGTTACCAGGGGCTCGTTTAACAACTACACGGTATATTACCGATGTTTTGGAATCTCATGTTATGCCCTATGGAGCCTAGATTGGGCTAAATTTTACATATATGCACGATAATGCGCGGCCTCATACAGCCCACATTGTGCAACGATATTTAGAAGAGGTTGAAATTCCGCTTCTACCATGGCCAGCCAGGACTCCCGACAGGAACCCCATTGAACATGTATGGGACTATGTGAAACTGAGGATAAAAGAGCGTAGATTGGTTCTTGGAGATCTTAATGCCATGTAGAATACCATCGTGCAAGAATGGGGATATCTTCCGTAAGAGTACATTAGGGGTTTAATCGAGAGTATGTCTCGAATAATGCAGGCTGTTATTAGAGCTAGAGATGGAAATACTTCGTATTAATTTGACTTTTGTTTGTGTTGAATTGTTATTAACATTTAATGGCTAAGATAAAAGACCAACTTCTGGTAGTAAATTTTGTTTTTGCTTGTTTTGTCTTTATTTTACTTCACTATAAACGCTACAGTCGCCTACAGGCACATCTCTTATAGTAAATTCGCAAAATCAACGTGTTGCGTTAATTTTTTTGAGGTGTGTATTTGCAGACTAGAAATCATCCCCACAATTGAACGCCTTTTACAAGAAATTCTGTATATTAACATGTGGTTATTTGATACCATTTATCCTTCCACAAAATATTGTAAGATAGACTTTAAAACTAACACTATTGCGATTTTTTTGTGAACCCTTTCATTGTCAAGAAAACTAGATAACGTGGCAACGTCGCAATGAAATTTCAAAAGTAAACTGTGGTTGCGAAGTTTATGAAAAGATCAGTCAAAATATGTAGAAATATGTAGGCTGTTTCATTAAAAAAAATTAAGTGGTGTTACGCCTTATAAACAGAACACTCTGTATAGTTAAAAACAATTTTAAAGAATAGTCCTCAAAGAACTGGACAACATTGATCTTTGACTACTCATTCTTGTGTTTCTCATACCTAATTAATGAGATATCGAGCACCGCACACTTAGTGGTTCACTGTATACAGGATGTTCCGGACATAAGTACCATAATTTTAATCAGTTATAGAGCTCATCAAAATCAACAACTTTTTTTAATAAGGTTTGGTCAGGAACTTTTTAATTATCAAATTAAAAATTGTTAAAGTGTTATCCCACTGAAGGCTGCCCGCCCATAGTTCCTTAGTCCTCCATGGACACTAATAATAATTTATAATTAATAAGTTATGGTCAAAACAGTACTAGGATGCGTATTTTTCTAATCATTTTTTTCGTCTATAAGTTAGGAATCTGTGCCAAACAAACTTTTGGGACGACGTTTAATAACATACACTTGACATAAAGTCAGTGTCAAAACGTTTGCAAGGATACCTTGTTCATTGTTGTAGTGTTGTTATTTGAGATGAACATAGACTGCTCGTGAATATATGGGTGGCAAAATTATTGTAAATTCGACTTGAGTTTTCGAAAAATTGATATACAAAAAAGTTGTTCCGTCTCACGAGTTACATTACTGGTTAAAATTAATGTACTTATTTTTGAGACACTCTGCATGTAAGAATATATTTTAAGTCAAGGTCCTGAATTCTACTTTTATTTTCTATGGCAACCAATACCACGCAACTTCGGTCTCAGCTTATTAAAGTCAGCTATGGTTCTTAATGTCGTACTGTTATTAATGAGAATACCCTTTTGCCAGGCGATATTATCACTAAAACATCCTATGCTGAATCAATTAAAAAAATCTCAGCAAGCTGTAATAATCAAACCTAAAGATAAGAGCCAAACTGCGAATAAAACGAAATCTGACATTATGACCAACATAGACCCAGTTGAGACTTCTCTTAATATCGACACGGTCAACAATTTTAAGGAAGGTAGTGTTTTAGTGGGCTGCCAAGATATCAACAAATTTAAATTACTTGCTAAGAATAAGTTGTTTTCTACATATGACATCCATGAGGTCAAATCGCTACGTCTTAAATAAAGAATCGCGGGTATTTCTGATTTAATTGATGAGGACAGTTTTCTAACTTATTTGGTCAAACAAAACGATTTTATATTTGATAGAGAATGTGATTATAATGTAATAAAATTTTATCCGGTGAAAACTAGGGAGCACTGTTATCAGGCTGTAATTGAAGTCGATATTGCTACTTACAAGAAGGTTCTAAGCATTGGGCATTGTCCAGTTGGATTGGATAGCTGTTCTATTTTTTGGGGCATTGATGCTTCGAGATGTTACAAATGTAATGACCAATGAAAGGAGTGCAAGGTTGTGAATTACAACTGTATTAACTATTCAAATCTAAAATCTAGTGGTAAACTTGAAAATATTAGTGTAGATCACGCAGCTTGGGACTATAACAACTGCCGTGCCTACCTTCTCACTGTCAACAAAATTAAACATGTTTGGCATAGCAGTATAGCAATCAACTTCACCAGCTTATGACCCCAGTAATACAGCCAGTGACAGATGTCCACCAATGCCAAATGATAAACTTATTAACTTTCTTAATGCTGCTCCAACACCTAATATTAATTCCAACTCTGCAGGTGGACTTTCGAAATTATCTCTCTATTATCAGAATGTCCCTGGTGTCAACTCAAAGTTAATTGAGCTGGATAATTCCTTAATTTCGTGTGACTGTCATCTTGTGTCTCTCTCTGAAACATGGCTCAATGACTCGGTCGTTAACACTGAGGTTTGCCCTGATAGCTTTGAGGTTTTTAGATCTGATAGGAAATTTGAGCAATTGACTATAACAAGGGGTGGTGGTGTTCTAATTGCTGTTAGGAATGAGCTGTCAGTAGTTAAACTTGATCTGTCCTCCAGAGGTATTGATATGCTGAAAACGATTGATATTATTGTAGGAGTTGTCGATAGTAATCAGTATGAGGTATTTCATTGTGACAGGAATTTTCAACAGTTAAATCTTATTAGGGGTGGTGGTGCCATGCTTTTGATATGCAATTCGTTTCAGTGTGAACGTTTGAATCTTCAGTTCATACTTACGTGAACTTATCCCTATGATTGATGTGGTCGGCTGCAAAGTGAAAATAAATGTTGCAATCTCAGTTTATGTATTTGTTTTTTATATTCCTCCGCAGATTTCTGCTTCTGATTTTTCTCTTGTTTTGGATTGTATTGAGCAACTAAATGTTCTGTACGAGTCTAACGTTGTTTGTGTAGGTGATTTTAATGTCCCATGTTTTAAGAACTTTATTAACTCGAACGTGAATGACATAAAAAGTGCATATCTAAGTCAGTTTCTCAATGTAATGGACTTTCAACAATTTAATGATATACCTAACTGTGATGGCAGATTTCTTGATCTCGTTTGTTCTAATCTTAAATGCAATGTGCAACACGATGTCTCGGCACTTCTACCTGAAAGTAGATATCACCCTGCTCTCTTGACCACTTTTAGCGTTCCACATCATACTAATGCAAATTCTCCCACACTGTGTGACATTTTTCGATATAACTTCAAGAAGGCTGATTTTACTGGTTTATATAATACTATGATTGAGGTGAACTGGAATTTTTTGTATAATATTAACTCTGCCGATGAAGTTTGTGAGTTGTTTTATGTAAAATTATATGAACTATTCGACAGGTTTGTTTCTAAAACAAAACCTAAAAAGGGTTCTTTTCCTGTTTGGTTCACAGCTGATTTAATTCGGAAAATCAAATCAAAAGACAAACTCTTTAAAAAATACAAGAAGTTTAATACTCAATCTTGTCTTGAGGAGTATAGAAATATTCGGCGTGAAATTAAATTGGACACTAATATTGCTTATAAAAACTATATAGATAATGTCGAACGCAAATTAATCAATGATCCCAGAAAGTTTTGGATGTTTGTCAATAATAAACGTAAAGATATGAGTACTCCGGGTTCTATATCTCTAGACAATGAACGCTTAGATTCACCACAAGAAATAGCGAACGCTTTTTCTAGTCATTTTTCAAAGTCTTATGTTCAATCTTCAGGTGGTTATCAGGGTCAGTCTTCAGACTCTCGCATTTTTGCAGGTGTTAGTGTACGAACAATTTCTGAAAGTCAAATACTAAAAGCTATAAAGAGACTTAGACCGACGTTTTCATCTGGTGATGACTGTATACCTTCATTTTTTTTTAAAGACTGTGCCAGTGTATTAGTGACTCCACTTTGGAAAATTTTTAATTTAGTAATTGATACGTCCGTCTACCCTGTAAGTTGGAAAGTTGGAAGAGTATGTCCCATATTTAAATCGGCAGACAAAGACAAGATTGAAAATTATAGACCTATAACAATTCTATCGAACATCTCTAAGGTCTTTGAATCTATATTATATAAACACATTTATTATAACGTGAAGAATATAATTTCAGATGATCAGCATGGTTTTGTCAGCGGAAGATCAACTGTCACCAATCTGTCGTGTATCACTCATTACCTTGCCAAAGCCCTTGATAACAATTCACAGGTGGACGTTATATATACGGACTTTTCCAAGGCCTTTGATCGGGTGGATCATAAAGTATTATTGAATAAACTCAATAATTATGGAAGATTTAATTATGTGATGTATAGGGGTTTCATTTCACAAACATTTATTGTAAAGTCCGGAGTCCCACAAGGTTCCAACTTGGGTCCTTTGTTGTTTTTACTATTTATTAACGACATAACAACTATCTTCAATATTCGTGTTTTGTTATTTGCGGATGATCTGAAATTATTCACTGTTATCAATTCTGCGGCTGATTGCATACAATTACAAGAGATTTTAGATCTTCTACAACAGTGGTGCCTGCACAATAAACTTAATCTCAATATCTCTAAATGTAAAATAGTTTCTTTTTGTCGGAAAGTGACTACTATTTCTTTTGATTATTCTCTAGGCGGAATTAATTTAACACATTGTTCTAACACCAAGGCTTTAAGTATATTATTCGACTCCGAACTCAATTTTAATCTGCACATTCGGAATAATCTGGTTGCATCTGGTTTTAAAACGCTAGGATTTATCATAAGATCTTGTAGGGACTTTAATTCGTTGAAGTGTGTTAAATCCTTATACTATGCATGTGTAAGATCGAAGTTGGAATATGGCGCATTAATTTGGTCACCTTATTACAAAAAGTACGAAGAGAGTATTGAATCTGTTCAAAGGAAATTTTTAAAATATCTATGGTTTAAAGAAAGTGGTTCTTATCCCGTTCAGGGAATTGATAACAGTATTCTGTGTAACGCTTTTAATTTTACATCTCTTTCCGACAGACGAACACAGTATTTTGTTGTATTCTTACATAACCTCCTGCATAATAAAATCATATCGAACGAATTGATGTCATCGATATCCTTTAATGTGCCACTAACAAATCTAAGATCTTTCAGAACATTTTACATACCTAAAGCGTCAACTAATATCTTATTACGGTCGCCTATTTATAAAATGTGTGATACTTTCAACATGCTAATGAATAACTACGATATTCACTTGATTAAAAAAAAAAAGATATTATGATTGAATTACGCAAACACTTCTGCACAAATACACTTACACAGTTCTCTGTATGAGATGAGTGTGATTTTCAGCAGTCTTGTGTTGTCTCTGCCTTTATATATTCTATTTCTGTTCTCTTTTTCTTTTCATTTGCGCTGTCTGTGAGTGGTGTGAATTGTATTTTTTCTCTTCATATATTTCTCTTTTGCTATTTTGTAGACCCTTTAAGTGGACTTTAGTCTGTTGGGTCTTTATCATATTAATAATAATAATAACATTAATAAGGAGTGAAATGTGGGGTCAACCATTCTTGTTTCTTTATATTCGTTATTTATGTCCAACCTAAAACTTTAGTCCTATGCGCTACTGTTTAATACATTAATTGGCTTAAATGAACTGTATAATCATGTCCTAACAATAGGAGACTTTAACATTCCCGAATATGATGCTGACTTGGATAATCTTAACAAATTGTTCGAATTAAATATCATCGTCAAATTTTTTAACTTTGTCTAATTCAACAAGGTGGCTAATAACAATGGCAGATTCTTAGATTTAGTTCTGTCTAACCAGCAATGTGTGGTAGACAAATCTGAAGATTATCTTTTAACTGAAGGCTTACCTACATCATCCCTCCCTCTTAATTTTCGCAAAGTCGATTTTCATAATCTTTATGAACAGCTTTGTCTAGTTAACTGGGACATTTTGGAAGATGTTACTGATGTTAATATCATCTGCTCACTTTTCTATAACAATCTTAATTCAAACCTTGATAGTTAGGTCCCGAAAACTCACCGTCGTCGTAATTCTTCTTACCTTGCTTGGTTTACGATGGACGTTATTAAAATGGTTAATCATATTTCCTCTGTTAGTGAGTCGGAAGTATTTGATGCCTTAAAGAAAATCAAATCGAACTTAACTTCTGGACATGACAACATTCCTGGCTTCTTATTATCAGACTGTGCCCATATTTTTACCTATCCTCTAACAATCACATTTAATTTAATATTAAACAAAGGATCTTTTCCTCATGTTTTTAAATATATCTTACATAAAATTCTACCATTTAATCTACATAATTAGTACATATCGGAATCGCAACACAATTAATTTTGAAGTGGCCGTTCTACGGTAACAAATTTATGTTGTTTCACTCAGTATGTTTCGAATAGTTTCGACAATAAGGAACAAGTTGACGTTTTCTTCACAGATTTTGCCAAAGCGTTTGACAGGCTTAACCATGACATTCTGCTGATGAAGCTTCATAATTACGGTTTATCTCGCCACTTAGTAAAATTAGTTCAATCGTATTTGTCACCTAGATTTCAGTACGTTAAATACCATGGATTTGAATCCGCTAAATTTTCCGTTTATTCGGGTGTTCCCCAAGGCTCAGTCTTAGGTCCGTTTTTCTTCGTAATTTTTATTGATGATATTATTAAGAACTTAAATTCTAAGGTATTGATATATGCTGATGAGATTTTCAAACGCGTTTCTAATATAAGTGACTGTGCGGAATTACAAAAGGACATTGATAGCTTTCTTACTTGGAGTACATCTAACTACTTGCCAGTAAACTTTGACAAGTGTCGTATCATGTCAATGACGAACAAAAATCTTAGAACAATGTACGATTACACAATTAACTTCTCGCCGTTGTCTAGAGTTGAGTCCTTTTGCGACCTAGGGATTACTTTTGACTACAAATTAATGTTCGCTGATCATATTGGTAACCTAGCTTTGGAAGCTTATAAGTGTTTTGGTTTTATTATTCGATCGAGTGGTTGTTTCAAGAACATAGACACTCTCAAAGCCTTATACTTTGCTTTCGTGAGGTCGAAGTTGAAATATGCAAGCATTGTGTGGGCCCCTTCTGCTCAAACCCACACTTTAGCTCTCGAAAAAATCCAGAGGTGTTGTCTAAAATTTTTGACGTTCAAGGTTGATTTATTTACCAACTCCACGTATTGACGTTCTTAAAACCATCTTCGTTTAACTCTTGTACCAAATGGATTCTGTATGACTGAAACTTTTCTTTTTTCATTATTGCTTGAATTGTTTTTCTACTAACATTGTGATTCAGCGCTAATTGTTGCACTGACGTTTTGGGATTGTTTGTTGCATCTAAATGGACAATAAGGTCATTTATCATCATTTTTGTGGCAGTTTTTGGACGTTCTTTAACACTTCCAGTTTCGTTAAATCTTCTTAGGGTTTTTGAAACTATCGACTCTGAAATGGGTTCTCGCTCAGGATGAATTTCGTTGAAAAGTGTTACTACTTGAGCAAAACTTCTTATTTTGTCACCGTAACCGATATAATCATTAATAATTTTATACGCTCAGTTTCACTTAGATGCATCATTTTTGCAAGAAACATCTTACATCTCAAATTAAAATTATTTTCAAAGGTAACTATGTCACCTTTCTTTTTTTATTTATTCTTATTTAAAATAATAATTTATTTACCATTTTACTCAGAAAGAAAGTACGATTGTGCTACATCAATGAATTTAGAAAAAAAAGCTGTATTCAAAAATGCATTAATTATATGATGTATGGTAGTAAAACATTTTTTTTGACGAATAATTAGAATACAACTAAAGATCTCTAAAATTCTGTAATTCCTGAAGTGTGCTTACATTTTCGTGGATATCTCAAAGAAAATTTACATGGATTTACGCATCACTCAAAAATAGAGATGTCGTGGTAGACAGTACATTGCATTGTGTCTGTGTGACAGTGAAAATGGAGACAACAGAAACATTGGACATAATGAAGAAAACATTCAAAGTAGATGCTGAATTTAATTCGTACTAAAAATCTACAAATTATTTGCATATTGTTCAAATTTTTATATCTACAGAATCAGCAATTTATCTTTCTTTGTTCGCGACGAATTTTGCGTTGATGAAGCGAATTAAGAATTTTCTGCGGTCCTCAATGTCAAATGAAAAACTGCATCACTTTGTTGTTTTGTGCGTTGTAGAACAAATATGTACTTCAGACAATCAGTTCTGACGACATTGTGTTAGAATTTGCGTCACTGAAAGCTCGTCGTAAGTGTTGATGTGTTGATCAATAAATAAATCTAAAAAAACATGTTTAACGAATTATTTTGAATTGTTTAAAAAAAATATGGTTTTCAAATTTTCTAAAATAAGTTTGAACTCCCCATTTAGTATTTTCTGGTGCTGTTTATTGTTTCTTGTTTACTTTACACTATTTTTCCTTCAAATGTCGTAGATTTGTCTGTTACTTATAGATTAATAAATCTGAGGAATCATGTTTGTCTCTACTTTTGCAGCTATGGTAATTTTTGTGGTTATTAGCCGAAATATTTATATCGAATTTAGGTTATTACACGCCATATGCATACAGGCTGTTTCACAATGGGGAATAGCTCACAATAAGATTTATTGCACTATGTAAAGTTCCCGTTCCTAAGTGGTAGCAATGTGTAGCAAATATTATTTGAAATTAAATATAAATTGGTAGTGTTTCTTGACCTGTCATAACTCTATTCAATGAATAGCACAAAACGACTAGGATTAACAGTAGTAAGTGTTTATTTTTACTCTACGGGCTTAAAAGATTCTTGATTTACAACAACCAAATAAATACATTTTATAAACCAAATAACTCATTTTTTTTCCTTTACCCCATCCCCCCTTGCCCCAGTCTTACTCTTGTCCTATCCACTTCTTTCATCCATTCCACCCCTCTTCCGTCTTCATTCAATATCTCTGTCACACTCTCCTCTCTGTCTTTGCTCTCCTCACAGTCATGCAGCATGTGCTCTATCGTCTCTCGCCCATCCCCACACATTCTACATATTCTCTCACTTTCGCTTACCCAAAACTTATTTTTTTTTTCTTCATTTCCACACCTAAATTTCGCAATTATTTTTTTTTCTTTCACGCTTTCTCTGTCTAGGTACTTTGGTATTGTTTCTGTTATTATCTTTCTATAGTCTGCATTGTACCTAGATTTACTTACACTCGCTTTTCTCTCTTGTTTATCTATGTCTCTGACGCATACACAACTCTTCTCTAATACTCACCCCCATTTCTCTCTTTCTCTCTATTTCCATCCGTGCGTATCCTTGTCTTTCATAATATCCTTATCTACCCTTGTGATGTTCTTTCCCTGCTTCCTTTTCTTTTTCCTTCCAGCATTCATACAATATCCTACATTCCTCTCTTTCTTTCAACCTTTCATCATACTTTACAGCTCTTTTCCCAGTGTATACTCTTAATTTCTCTGGTTTACATTCTTCTCTTACTATATAGCCTGGCGTCTCTTTCCGTAGCCCTAACATCCACCTCAAATATTTTTCTTGTACTGCTTCCATCTTTGCATATTCCTTCCATCCCCATATCTCCACTCCATACATTAATACACTCCTAACTAAACTATCAAACATTTTCATCCTTCTTCTTACGTCATGTCTAAATATTCTCTCACCTATAATCCACACCATTCCCATTATCTGCATTGCTTTGACCCTTCTTTCTCTTATGTGTGCTTTTACCGTGTTAGTTGTTGTAAACTTAAATCCTAAATATTTAAACTCCTTTACTGTCTCTATGTCCATTATTTTTGTTTTTTCTACATTTACCTCCAGTTTGTTTCTTTTAAAGTATCTTTGCAGATTTTTTTCATCTCATTCATTCCACATTCATCCTTCGCCAATATTACCAAATCATCTGCAAATGCCAAACACCATACCTTTTGTCCCCCCACCACAATTCCTTCCGCTTGTACTCCTCTAAACATTTCCTCGATATCGCTTATGTAACAAGCAAACAGACTGGGACTTAATGGGCATCCCGGTCTCAATCCTTTCGTCGTCCAAAACATTTCACTTTCTATTCCTCCCACTCTCACACTAGTCACTCTCTCTCTATAAATCTCTCTTGCTGCTACAATTAACTTTTCACTCAGTCCTCTTCCCTCCATGCATTCCCACAAACACTGTCTGTCCACCCTATCAATCGCGGCTTTTACGTCTACAAACAGTGCATATACCCGACCTCCTTCCTTTAGCAACTCTTTTTCTATTAGATGATGCAAGATATATACATTGTCTATAGCCCCTCTACCTCTTCTAAATCCTGCTTGACTTTCCGGTAATATACTCTTTTCGTTCATCTCTGTCACCAACCTTTCATTTAACACCATTGCGTACAGTTTATATGCCGTATTTAGGAGAGTTATTCCCCGATAATTCTCTACTTTTTCTTTACTACCCTTTTTATGAATTGGGCACATTTGCCCTACTCTCCATTTCCTGGGAAAACCTTTACCCGTCCACACATCATTCATTAACTCGCTCAATCTTTCAATCATCGCATCCGTCCCAAATATCCACACTTCGTTTACCAACCCATCCCTCCCCGGTGCTTTTCCTCTTTTCAGTCTTCCTACTTGTTTTCCTACTTCCTCTAGTCGAATCTCAGCCTCCCTTTCTCTACCACCAATCCCGGTTTTACTATCTTGTGCTACAATTCTCTCTTCCTTTCCATTCAACAGTTCCATAAAATTTTTCTTCCACTGTATTATAGGTACGTATGTCTTCACTAATCGTGATTTTGTTCTTCCGTTCTTTATTATTTATATACTGCCGTGCCTCTTGTTCAGTTCTTATGGCTTTAATTTTTTCTTCTTCTTTCTTTTCTTTGCATCGTTTTCTATAATTATTTTTTGCTTCCCAGTACTCTTCTTTTATACCTTCCCCCTTTTTCCACCTTCTTAAACATTTCCTAGCTTCTGTTTTTAAATCTCTGCATCTGCTATCCCACCATCTGTTTCTCGTTTCTAAATTTCTCGTAACAATTTCTTTTCTTATGGCTGCTTTTTCAATTTCTCCTTTTAATTCTTCCATTTTCTTTTCAGTTCCTTTTTCTTTAAATTCCACTTCTAACATTTTTTTTTTATAATGATCAATTCCTTTTTCATTCCATACCCATATCTTCTTCTCTTTTCCTCCTTCATTCCTTAAGCATCCGCTCCCTCTGCTTATGCCCCTCACTTTTATTTCTAGTGGCATGTGATCGGAGTCCACTCTTTCTCCTATCTTGAATGTCTCTACCTCTTCTTCTGCTAATCCGTTTACTATTACGTAGTCTATTACCGATAGATTAGCATTAATAACCAAAAAAGCGTCGCACTGATAAGCAACGTGCAAAAACAGGATATGGGCCAGTGATGTATCAATTGGTTAACGTCTTTGAAAATGATGAATTTTTCCAATTCAGAGCGTCTCTAAATGCTAGTGCTTTATGGTGTGGCTGACGGAAACGCCAGGTTGTGCCGCGAATTATGGATCAAACGCTTTCCAAATCGCGCGATCTCGTGTGCGCGAACATTTATATCATCTCCGAGATCATGGTACCTTCAAGTCTCAAACTTACGATTGTGGTTGTAATAGAACCGAAAGAATACTGCAAGCTGAAGAACAAATTTTGGAACGGGTCGTAACACCCGACATCACCACTTGCCAACTTGTAGCTGAAGTTGGAGTTTCACAGTTTGTAGTGCATCGTATATTAAAAGAACAAGGCCTACGTCCAGACCACGTTCAAAAAGTGCAAGTTTTGGAGGCCGCTCATTTTCCACGTCGTGTAATTTACTGCGAATGGTCGTTACAGTTATGGTTGAATGTCGTGGATGTCCTAACTGGGGGTTTTGTCCCATTCGACTTTTAATTTGTTTTTTTCTATATTTCTACATTGCTACGGTGCGTGATACCGTGGTTACAATTATTGTATATATTTCGAAATCACCCTGTATTGTGACTCCGAGTCGATCTGTACGATCACACCTATAGCTGGAATATGAGTCAATCAGTTCTAAGCGAAGATTCAGCAATAAGAATGCAGGAAGGGTCAGAATTTTGACAAAATAATGCAAAATCACAAAATTTGGCAGTTAAGGAGCAAATATTAGTAAAATATTTTAACTTACCTTTTTACAAAATAATTATTTCAAGGCCCGGTTGAGTATATACTTATACCATTAGCAAAAATCTTTTATCTCGCCTACTAGCCTGTGCACCTCATCATTAGATTCTTATCGTTAGATTAGTAAAGCACTATACTCATATTTTCAACACAGTATTGATAAACTTGTCATTACATTCGTGTTTGCTAATTCCGTCATACTTATTTTAGAAACATGCTAGAACTAAACTATAATTTTCTTCACTGGTTTAAACGCCACCATTTTCTTTATATGTTCGGTTTCTTCCTAAACTTCCGGCCCATAACTCCGTTTTATCATGAGATGTTAGTGACTACGAAAAACATTACTGATCAAGAATATTACGAAAGACTTTATCCAGTGTCAACTTACAGTGCTGTGATAGTATCATTTATAATTTTCATATGTATAAACTTTTGTTTGTTTAATTACCTGTTAGTTCTGGGATGTGTTGGAGGATTGGTGTTTTCGATAGCCATGTGGCAAACGGACACTGTTGGTAGTCTTCAAGTCGCTGAGGTTAGTATGTTTAGGTACTTATTCAGAGTTTTGAAAAACAAGTTTTTTGTTTTATTTAGGTTTTCGAGGGATGCTTCGTTGCGACGGAAATAATATATTTCGCTTCAATTTATGTCTGCCACGACCTGAAACTAAGCTTTGCAGCTAAGACGGCCTCTATCAGAGTAGTTCCAGTAGTGGCACAATTGACTGCGGCGATTTTGGCACAATTACTGGTAACGAATGGGTGGTTAAATTTAACGGAGATTACGTTTTTGGGTGTCCCAGGTAATAACGCATTTTTTTTGTGACTCAGAAAATTATTGGGGTAAAATTTGATACGGAGAAAAAATGAAATTATTTTCAGCTTATTATGGGTAAGTCAGACTTTATCTATCGTTAACCTAATTTCAACATTTAAAGTTTACTTTCGTTATTTCCCCAACTTAATCACGACGTGACCGTTTGTTCCAACTCAGTGCTATTAGTTTTGATGAATTCTCAGACTAACATATTTTTCACAAACAAATGAAGATTAAAACATGTGAAGTGATTTTTTTTAACTTTCAATGGCAATATTTTTGGTATTGTACGAAAATTGCGGCCATTTTGGCAATGATGATTTTGTAATTTCGAACATTACTGAATAATTCCTAAAGTACCTACGTCACTCTCGGCTTTATTAATTTACTAAAACGTTTGCTGAAATAACATTTCTTGTCACTAATAAATGTTTCGAAGTTTTATTGCAGTTTTATGGGGTTTGTGATAAAATTTTTACACTGACAATATGATAAAAAACGTCAGAACATATTTTTACATTAAACTTCACCAAAACTCTCCAATATTAGGTCGGACAAGAAACGAGACAAAAATTCGAAGTGATTATAAAAAAAAACAGCTAAATTCCGAAACTATACATTCACATTTAAATTTGACATTGTACAAAACGGATCGAGTCACCGATATCACTTGAATTTAGTGTTTTGTTTCTTGAAGTACTCTATTGTTATCTTATCAGTGAATCTGATAACGTCATTTAATTTTTTATCAATACATTATACTAAGTAACGTTATCGCCTTTTTCCCGGAAATAAGATATCTACAGTAAAAAACAGCTTCTTCAACACGATTTATAAAGTTTTGGAAGCTGAAAATAGTGGTGAAAACCGCGTATCGAAATTTTCATAAACAGTCGAGGTATTGATTTTTAAAGATGAGGTGCAACTTCACTAAAATTAAGAAAAAAGATTATGATAAACTGTTAAGAAAACTGCTCTTGCGTGATATAGAGAAAGATTATAATGTAGATGGTTCAATCCTTACCAAGTAAAAATTTTTCCAGATAAAGCCTTTTCACTTTTACGAGTAAAAAACCAAACCTTTAGAAGTACAAGAAAACTGAAAATTTACCTTAGAAAGTACAAAAACGGTTGTTCTGAAATCCTTCAAACACTTTAAGATTGTCGCAGATATGATAAATCGCTATTTAACATTATCTTTTTGACCCCTCCAAAAACTTAGTGACGTCATCTCAAAATTTTAGTAGATAAATCCTATCTAAAATGTGAACAGTTTTAGATGCATTTTATCAATGGATCCATATTATTACTTTGCAGGACCAGATTAAAAAAAAAATAAACGATTTATTTTAGATACTACTGTACGAGTAATTTATTACGTAAATTCTTTTTAAAATATGTAAAATAATATACGAACAAATCGTACAATATATGCAACATACGAAGAAATAATGCGTGTATATGTGGTTTATTAAGCCATCATTAATTTGTTGTCAAAAAATCTTCAGACGATGACTTGTGCTTATTTAAAAAAATCAGTACTGAAACCTACGTCTTTTATCAAAATTTATCTAAAGAACTCTTCTTCTCTTTATCTATCTATATCTCCATCTGTATAAATGTATCTCCATTAAGAATATGTGACGTCCTCTTTAAAATTATTAAGTAAATCTTTACAATTATTACAATTTTCCTACACCTCGTTGTGCATGCTGTATTTGTTGTAATTTGAATAAGAAAGTACTGTATCGAAAAGATTTTTCTGTATCGATTTAGGGAACCACCACGTGTATTGTATTGGGATTTGCAACATTCGTGTTCGCCTCATTCTTTAGAATGTTCACGTGTACCAAAACTGCACACTGTGACTATACATTTATAAACATATATCTTTAGCACGTAGCTGATTATTTTGTAATGACATTGTGTGATCGAAAATAATCTTGAGCAAAGTACCAAATTTATTTTCCTCTAAATCGTACGAATAAAATCAGTAATATGCTACGTTTAAATCTGATTAAATCATTTTCGATAACACCATAGTTACATCATGACATGTTGATAAATGATAACTCAAGATTGAACCCGGATATTGCTTATTTATTAATTACGTACTAATACTTCCAGCATGTGCACATTCTATTCTCCTGGTGTACCATCTGCCGTCTATGTTTGAACTACAAGCAATTCCAGAAAACTTTCTTCCAAAGTTATCATTTTTCAAGAAGAAACTGAAAGATACGTTTTCCAATCATCATGTCGTCCAGTACTCACTATGGATAGCATTCACTATGAGTGGTTATGCTCAGATTTCCTTCACCATGCAAACTCTATGGAGACAATCTCAAATTGAAGACAGCGAAGCACCTTACAATGGAGCCATAGAAGGAATTTGTTCGTTTTTATCTTTGTTAGGTATTTTACTAGGCGCCACATTAAAACCAAATTTTAAACGTCAAAATGCACTTTTGTCTGTGACATCATTGTTACAGTGTAGCTTACTGTTTGGTTTCGCGTATGTAAGCAATACCTGGGAGCGCACAATTTTGTATATAGTACTGAACTTGGTGTACCATTTCGTGATTACTAGAATAACAGCAATAGTAGCTGAAATTGCAAACAGTAAAGCGTGTTTTGGAACAGTTTTTAGTTTTATTGGTTTAATCTACTCTATTCTAAATCTAGTATTTGCTTGTGTTATTAACAATAATGGAATTTATTTAACGGTACAACAACAATTTACTGTCTATGGTGGTTACCACTTTGTCGCGGCCCTTTTAATGGCGTATGTGTACGTAGTTAGTTTCTGGTGTAAGTCTTGAAATTCTACAGTATTTGTAACAGTGAGTCTCTTATTATATTTATACGCTCGCAAGAAAATGTTATAATATCTATAAATAGTACGAATAAATATATTTTTTTATTATATATAGAAATTTACCATATATTTTTTATCCTTTCGATTTTAGTATAATAAATGCATTTCCTTATGTATTGCTTCATTTTTTCTTTTTTTTCTTGTTACCTTTGCTTCTGCTGGTATAAAATTGCTTCACGTAGTAACTAGCTATAAAAGCAAACCGTAATTTATAAAGTTTAAGTAGGTACAATGTTGCTTTACCTGCATACACAAATTTTATAAAATATGCGAACACTGTAGCGTAATAGGCTGTGTTCACTATTTTTTCTATAAACATCTTTAACAGCATGTAGCGCTAAGTTACTGTTTTGTTTTTGTTAGTATGATATTACAATCGCAACTACTGTGTTTTCACTCTACGTACCCATTGTATAGTGAACAGTAGGTGGAAATTACCTTCCATTATGATAATGATAAAACTTGAAGAGATAACGATTCATGTGGTAAATTAGACTATATATATAACATGTGATGTACCCAAATGATGAACATGCTTAGAGTAATGTAAATATGAAATTTTAATCTCGGTATTAAAACTGTGTGTTTAAGATAAAAATACAAATAAAATCTCTATTGTGACATGTGTTAAATTGTAGATAGGAAAAGACTTGTCTGTTTAATACAATTAATTAGTCGTGCACCAATTTTCCAAACTTCACACTGATTTTATTAAAAGTCTTAATAAAAAGTGTCCGCCATTTGTCATTTTGTCATTTTTTGACATGACAAGCATAACTTGATTAGAAATTATATTGTCCTCTGGATTCTCTGGATTCTTGATTCTAATTTTATGGAGGCTGACCGTAGCCAGTCGGCACTCAGGCCTCGCTAATGGGCTCATTGTGCCTTCCCCAAGTGCATATCAGGGTGTCTTCCCCCTCATCTACTCGTTAAGCCACCCAACTACTTGAATGTATCTACCTGAGTAATGGAGAGAGTGGGAACTCCCTGATTTTTGCCATATTAGGCCAGATGTCCCCTAGTATGGGTTTCCTGTAGGAGGTTAGCGCTGGACACTCATGAAGAATGTGCTCAGTTGTTTGCTCTTCGTCATTGCATCCACGACAGATTGGGTCTGTTATCACTCCTATCACTGTTTGTTAAAATGGTAATGTACCGTAAGGAATCCTACCAGTTTGCGCAGTTTGTCCCTTGAAAGTGAGAGATAAAATTTCGTCAACTTATGGTCTAGTGTCGCTATACAAGTTCTACTCTGCCGACAGCTGCTCACCGTCATCCATATTTGCTCATGGCGTCTATGGCGTCTATGGGTACACTGCTTTACGAGTTCGTTCGAGAGGGCGACCGAGGACGTGATTGCCGATTCGGGTCCCCAGAAAGACATGTGAGCGGCTCGTTTCGTCATCTCACCTACCCTCTCGTTTCCTTCGTTGTCACTGTGTCCTTTGATCCAACAAAGTTCTACATTATTCCTCTGCGAAACATACCTTAGCGTTTGTCTGCACTCCCAAACCAGCCCGGATTGAACCATACATCTAGGCTAAAGTTTAATAAGTTTTAACTTTTGATGTATTTACGTAGAAGCGTTCGTTATTAGACGTTAGGTTACAAAAAATAGAAAATAAAAATCGTCATGTCAATACCTACACTTAGCCCGCCAATAAAGTGTAAATCCATAAGTGGAAAACTGAATGTGTATTAAATGTTGGACTACAGAGTATGTGTAATTTTTGCGCTAGTTTTAAGATTTGGTGTTTGGGCGACAGTGCCGGATTTAGTTCACAGATTACCGGGTATGGTATCGTCACTACGATATCTCCAGTTGAACACAAGTTCTTTCAAAGAAAAGTTATAATATTTTAATTATTAAAGGAATATGTTTTTACAACACAAATATTACACAATTATTATTATTATTATTATTATTATTAGTATACTGCCCCTACAGACGAATCCAATTACAGGGACAGAAATATTTGCACTACGTATAGTTGTCACAAAAATTAGATATTTCACCTTAATATGGTCATCTTAATATCACGGTTGCTGCAGTTAAACAAATCTATATTATTTTGATATAAGTTATAATTACGACACATGGTGAAAATAGGAGAGAACTTTTGTAAACTAATACGCGCAGTTGGTAAATAGAAGGTACCATTATTTCTAATATATAATCTTGGCACATGGAAGTCGAGTTCTGCCAATAAACTACTACAGTCAATCGAACCAGTAACTAATTTGTGCAGAAATATTAGTGATGAAGCAACTCTCCTTTGCTCCAGACTTTTTACGTTAAACATATCAAGCAGTATTTCATGAGGGTAACCTCTGTTAGGATAATGACCAAAACTCAAGAAAAATAAAAATTTCAGAAATCGTCTCTGGATCTTTTCCAGAGCCACCGTATGGATGTTATAGCCAGGCGACCATATTATGTTTGCAAATTCCAACTTCGATCGAACAAATGAAAAATATAGAGGCTTGATTGTTTCAGTGTCCTGAAATTTTCTACAATTCCGTATGATAAACCCCAGATTTTTTAGTGCACTTGACATTATTTGCTCATAGTGGTAAATAAACGTCATTTTAACGTCGAATGTTACTCCAAGATCTCTAATAACATTTTTTCTGCAAACTTGGACATTATCAATATCATAGTCAAAAATTAAAACTTTTGATTTTAGTGAAAAAGTAACTACATTACATTTAGCAGAGTTAATTGAGAGGCCACATTGTTTACTTCTGTCACAAACTAACTGTAGATCCGCTTGCAATTTTAACTGATCTTCCCTGCTAGTAATTTTTCTAAATAATTTCATATCGTCCGCATACAATAATGCCGGTGAAGTTAAATTATCTGTAATATCATTTACAAAAAGATTGAAGAATAGAGGCCCAAGAACAGATCCTTGTGGTACGCCGGATGTAACGTTAATTTCTTCTGACTCATAACCACTACACATAACACGTTGTTTTCTTCCCGTTAGATAAGTAGCAAAAAATATTATTAAGTTGTCAGAAAAACCAAAAGGGCTTAATTTGTCAAGTAATTTGTAGTGGTCCAGTCTGTCGAACGCCTTCGAGAAATCTATGTAAATAGTATCCACTTGGGTTCCTGCGTCAATATTTTCTGTTACGAATTGTGTGAACATACATAAGTTAGTTTCAACAGAACGGCCTTTGACAAAACCGTGCTGAAGTGGAGAAATATAGGAATTAACATGGTTCATAATGACTGTGTGCAACAAGATCTCAAATACTTTAGAAAAATTATTAAGCAAAGTAATTGGTCGATAGTTCTCAATGTGCTTTCTGTCACCTTTCTTAAAAATTGGACATATAATAGAGTCTTTCCAGAGAGTAGGGTATTTACGAACCGAAAGTGATAAATTGAATATTAGAGACAGAGGATGGGCAAAAATACTTGCACAATCACGCAAAATAAAAGCGGGGATTCGATCCGGACCTGAAGTGACTTTATTTTTAATTTTACGTAATGCTTTATAAACTTCGTCTTCGCTAAAGTGATTTATATTAAGAATATTAGGGGTAATAATTTTTGACTGTGTTTTCATATTATTAAAATCAGATTCAATATATGATTCCTGAAAGAAAGATGCCAACGTGTTCACAATAGGTTTAGCACCCAATAGCTCTGTATTTTGATGTCATAATTTTTGGCAAATAGTTCTCTTGTCTTATACTCTGTATAAACGACCAGAAATGAGATGGATCAGTTTTTATTTTATTTTCGATGTTATGTATATAGTCTCTATGAGATTTGCAGATTTCATTTTTTATTTGAAGTCTTAAGGTTTTGAATTCATTGTAAGCATTTTGATCTCTGTGATGCTTATACTTTTTCCATAACTTAACCTTTTTTTTTATGTTACTAATAATTGTATGACTATACCATGGAGGAAATTTCTTTTGTTTAAATCGATTAGTTAAAGGTACTGAAACTTGGAAAATACTATTTAGTTTGGTGTAGAATTGCTCACATGCAATGTCAACATCCCGACAGTTTTCTAAAAAAGACCAGTTAATTTTGGATAAATCGTTATATAGAATTCTAAAGTCTGCCTTGCGGAAATTATATGTTTTGAATTCAGAATTTCTTATACATTTTTGTTTATTATTAGAAGACTTTTGTTTAATAGGAATTGTGATTTCTAAGCTGGGATGGTGTGAATCTTCTTTGAGTAATATATCATGTGCCCTATCCACGTCACTGTGTATCTGGTCTGACAGGACTAAATCCAGTAATCGATATTATTAAAATTTAGTATTTTATTGTATTGAACAAATTTTGAAACTTGCATAAAGTTAACTAAGGCATTCGTTCGTCTATCGGTAGCTTGAGAATTATTCAAATAATTTATGTAGTTTGGGATGTTAAAATCACCTACAATAAGAATATTGCTTCCTAGAGTTAGGCAAAGAGAACTGAGAAGTTCGTAATAGTGATGTACATCGTTAGCAGTTGTACGAGGCGGGATATATATTAAAATTATGTAAAAGATAGAATGATCATTTGTGATTTTTACTACCAAAACATCAATTGTGGATACTGAATTAAAGTCTATACCTTGTGTGGTGACAAGACATGAAGGAAATGAACTGGAAACTGCGAGCAACACTCCTCCACCTCTCGAGCAATCGGTTGTGAACTTTCTATCTGCTCGATATATAACATATTATGTCATGATTGCAAACTATGAAGTAAACGAGTGAAGATGATTCGCCGCGCAAAGAGCCAGCGAAAACAGCGAAAATGGAAGAAAAAGAACAAATAAAGCAGGGACAAGATCCGTTGATGGAAATGATGAAGCAACTAATGTAAGAAATGAAACAACTGAGAGAAGAAAATAGAGGGGTAAAAAAAGAATTACAGACAATAAATGGAATACTGGAAAGAGAAAGAGAAGAATGGAAAGAAAAGGAAAGAAACTTCGAAGAAAGATTCAATAATTTAGGGAAGAAGTTGGAAAAAAAAGAGGCAAGAAAGAAGAAACAATTTCATAATTACGGGTATGGAAATAAGGGAAAAAACAGATGCAAAAGAAGTAGAGGAATTTTTGAGAAAAGAAATTGAGGTAGAAGTAAAAGTGTTGGAAACAATAATTATAGGGAAAGAGTAAAGCAAGAAAATACTGGTTAAGATGCTTTGGGAGGAAAAACAAGAGGTGAAGAATAAAAATAAACTGAGAGGAAAGAGAATATATATTGATAATGATTGGGCAGTACAAGAGCAAAAAACTCAAAAAGGAATTAGGGGGGTAACTAAAGAGGAAAGAAAAAAAGGATACACAACAAAGGTGGGATATATGAAGCTTGAAGTAAGCGACAAAATGTATACAGGGAATGACAATTAAGGAAAATTGGAAGAAAAATTTCGCAAATCAAGTCAACACTAACCGAAGAAAGAAATACAAAGGGGAGGGGTAGTAATGATAGGACAAATAAAGGCTTTAGGTATAAGAATGTAGATTTGTACATAATAGGGGAACGGGAAAGAAGAATGGGGAAGATAAACGTGGTTTAAAATTGCTCTTTTGGAATATTGCGAGGTTGAAAAAGAAAGATAATTTATTTTGGGACTACGTGAAAAATTTTGATTTTGTGGGACTAACAGAAACATGGATACTAGAGAGAGACTGGAACAAACTGAAAGACGTGTTGCCATAGGAATTTCAGTGGAAATTGCAAGGGGCAAGAAAAGACAAACGCAAGGGTAGAGCAAAAGGTGGAATCATAACAGGAGTGAAGAAAGATGTAAAAGAAATAGAAGAGGGGGCGATAGAAATGGAAGGCATGATTGAAAGAAAACTGACTGTAAATAAAAAAAGATGGAGAATCTGTACAATATATAGTAGAGGAATGAGAAACACGAAACAAGAAATACAAGAAAAAATCGAAGTGTCCGAAGAAGAATCTCTACTGTTAGGAGGGGACTTTAATGCCAGAATAGGGAACAAAAGTAGGGAACACGACGAGGAAAACACACGAAAATCGAAAGATAAGGTAGAAAACAGACACGGAAAATTGCTATGGGAATTAATTGAAGAAAGAGGTTGGGAAGTCTTGAATGGGGTGAAGGAAGGGGACGAGGAGGGGGAATTTACCTGGATAAGTAAAAGAGGGGAATCGGTAATAGACTACGTAATAGTAAACGGATTAGCAGAAGAAGAGGTAGAAACATTCAAAATAGGAGAAAGAGTGAACTCCGATCACATGCCACTAGAAGTAGGGGCATAAGTAGAAGGAGCGGATGCTTAAGTAATG